GGGTGTAATGTATAAAGTAGATGAATAGTTAAAAAGAAAACCACACGAGCAAGAGAGACAGCCATTATTGCAGGCACCCTAACAAAGCCAATGACTGCACTAACGGGAACCCTGGGTGCTCTGCATGGCACTTTCTCTACTGGTTCTGGATGACTACTACAGTAGGACGTTCTGTTTGGGGAGAAAATGAGACGATGGCTCAGGGATGTTTGCACAGTCAAACCCTCTGTGCAGTAACTAGGATAGCTGTAAGGAATGGGAACAGGGTACAAAGGTGGCCATGCCCACTGTCTGTGCCAGAACCCAATGGAGTACTGTTGCGTCCCTCTTTCTTAACACAGTACCGTGCTATCAGCAGTCTGCTCTGGAACACAGGTTCTCTCCTTACTTGAAGATGTGTGCTTTGCCCTTGTCCTCAGTGAAAGGTAACAAGTAAAGCTTTATTTCCAACTTCATTTCTGTGTAAAACGGTACCAACTTAACAGTCTTTGTCACCTGAGAAAGTCAAAGTAAAGGTCCTACCGCCAGTCTGGTGTCTGGTGGTTCTAGGATGCCTATGTTTACCACTTTTCTTCTGTTTGGATCACAACAGTAACCAGAAACAGTCCTACTGTGTGCATGGCTAACTCTTGTCCAAGGTTAGTCTCAAAGGCCTCTCAACTCTCTGGTAAGACCTCATTTCCCGCACTGTTAGGGTCATCTTCTTCCTGTGGGCACCTTGTTCCGGAAGCACCTAGGGAGCGGCGCCAAGCTTTGGACCCAACTGAATGGTTAACCTACCAGTGGTCATCAAGCCTATTACCCCACCACCTCATCCTTTGAGGAAGGCATGACACCAGGATGAAATAAGACACAAAAGCATCTTATTGATCCTTCCTTCACCACCCCCTTTACTCAAGTCTCCTTCATAAGGATCCTTGTAAATGGATCCTCTTGAATCCAAATTCTTTCTTCAAGGTCTTTCTCTCAGGCGGCATTCTTGTGTAAAAATCCCACAGGTGCATTAACTCACACTGACACAGTACGATATCTTCCTCCTTCATCATAAAGGCTCTTTAATATGTAGAGACTATATATTGAAAGAATACACTAACAGAGTGATTTAAACAACAGACTTGACTTTTTAAAACCTTAACCAAAGAACAATGATCCCAGGATGGGAACCCTGTTTGGGCTCTTCCCTCCCACTCTCGCTGAGTCCCCACAGCAGAGTGTTAATCACAGTGAGTCTGAATGTCACCACAACATGTTTCTAGTCAGTGACAGAAGGAATGCTAGAACTAGAATGAAGACATAATTGCTAAAATCCGAATGAATTACTAACTGAGGTGGAATAAAGTGACACTGAAAGACACAGCTAGCCACTGTGGTACACACTGCTTACTATTCAGGAAGGCCACAGTTCAAGGCCAGTAAGGGCAACTTAACTAGACTTTGTCTCCAGGATGTACATTTAAAAGGGCTGGGGATATAGTTCAGTGTTGGAGTGCTTGCCTACCAAACTTAAGGCCATAGGTTCAATACTCTCTCTCTGTCTCTCTCTCAGCAATGTGTGAAAAGTGCCTAGCACAGTTTCTAGTACAGGCACAAGGTGAAAAGCACATGTTTAGTGAGCTCCAGGACAGGCATGGCCTGTCTCTGGCATGTGTGAAGACATAATCAGCATATGGAGACTGTTACCTCTGGATCTTTATTCCACTGAACAACATACTCCCAGCAGCAATGTGCATGCAGCACGTCAAGTTCAAGGCTACAAGGGAACTGTTCATAGGCTAGACGGAGCAAGTCTGGAAGACACAAGAGGGTAACAACGTCTTTTTGGTAAGAAGCACTCAGCTGCATCGCTCCACGCTGGATCTCATAGTGCTCATTATCTGGTGTCACCTGGTACAGCTCCTAGGTCTATCTCCACCTCTGACACTTCAAGGAGACTTCGGGCAATACCTTCTCGAGGTTCGTCTGGATTGTCTACATCTCTTTCTTTGTTGACACATTTCAACAGCTCAGGGCTGAGGTCTTGTTTAAATATCCACTTGGCTACACTGTCTGCAACACCACCTACAGGTTTGAGACAGGAAAGAAAATGAAAGCTGATAAAATATGAGCAGCAATGTGCTAAGTGAAACCAAATACGGAGTACAGCAGACATTGCCTTAAGGGCAGATACACAGCATGCTCACTTCTGAATCTGAAATGAAGGGGATGTCTAAAAGCCATGAGATTGAGTGTGCTAATATCTATTATTCAGCTTGGGAAGGCAAGTAAGATAGCTGCTGTCTGGGGGCATACTTCTACATTGAGAACATCTTAAATAAACATAAATGTACATGTGTCAACAGTATATACACTATACTATACACTGGCTATACGCTTGCCAGGTCCATAAATTCAAAGTATACTACACCAGACACAGATGGAAGAATTACTACTGTTTTAAAGGTTTTTTTGTTTGTTTGTTTTGTTTGTTTGTTTGTTTGAGAAAGGGTCTTGTGTAAGGCTGGCCTCAAACAAATCATCAAACTAAGGATGAACTGAGGACTCTGAACCCCAGATGATCCTACCTCCACCTCTCGAGTGATGTGTGCTGCCACAGCCTAGGTGGTGCTGAGTTCATGTCTATGCATGCTGGAGAGCCATTCTATAAGTGGACCTAATGCCTACCCCACGTTACCTTTTCTTGAAATGTAAAATAATGTGTACGTGTTGTATGCACGCTCATACATCAGAGGAGGATGTCGGGTGTCTTGCTTTGTTACTCTGCCTTCCTCACTCGGGACAGGTTCTCTCAATGAACCCAGAGTGAGGACAGCAGCATACTCCAGTCTGCCATTCTCTTCCACAGTGCTGTGCTTAAAGTGTGTACAGCCACACCTTGTCTGTTTGTTTTTCAAGACAGGTTTCTCTGTGTAGCCTTCGCTGCCCTGAACTTGATTTGTAGACCAGGCTGGCCTGCCTCTGCCTCCCTGGGTGCAGGGATTACAGGTGTGTGCCACTGCACCTAGCTCACACTTATTATGTGGGTTCTGAAGATTTGAACTCAGAACCTCATGTTTCGCAACAAACACTCTTACCCACTAAGTCCTTGCCCCAGTGACCCCAAACCACCCCATATTACATCTAGTATACAACTAACTTTACCAGGCAAAATTTAGTCATAATTTTACATGTTTTACTCATCAAGAGGATTCAAAAAATTCTAAGTACAAGCTAAAAATATTCATGATATCTGAAATTTTGTTTATTACCTAAAATAAATAATTCATTTAAAAATAAGAAATACATTTACTCCAATCTTCATGTCTTTTGGAGTGGAGAGATACGGGCAAAAAATGAAGTATCAATATGTTGTCCACTAAGGCTGGTTTAAAATTTATTAGCTCAAATGTTCATTTCCCCATTAACTTCCAGAATAGCTGGCACTAACATGCGCCACCATGTCTACTTTTTATTTTGATTCAAATAAGAGTTTCCCATAAAATAATGTTTCATAGTAAACTTATCCTCATCTGTGAAAACTATGAACAGGGTGCTGGGAGATTGAATTTTATGTCTGACTTCTAAGTTACTCTAGAATTATGCCCTTACCTATATTTCTTGGGTTAATATTAAAATGGTGGACCTCAACCTTCTTTAGGTGACAACATAGAATAAAGTAAATAAAAAAACTGTTAGAAATCTTATAAAGAATGAGAAATCGAGTTAAATAAAAATCTGCAAGCACTCATAAGCTGGAGAGATGGTGCAGTGTTTGAGAGTAAGTACCACACAATCATGAGGAGTGGCGCACAGGGCTCACTGTTCCTATAACAAGCTAGGACTTCTATACACCCTGGAAGCCCATCTCTGGGGTGGACAGAGACAGAAGGCTCCCAGGGTCTTGCTGGCTTCCAGCCTAGACTGAAAAATGTGAACCCTGAGCTTGGAAAGAGACCTTGCCTCAAAGGAACAGAAGGATATTGATTAGAGACAATTGACATCCTCTTTTGCCCTACACGCATGCACACATGCATAAAGAAATAAATCTTAAAAATCTAAGTACTTGAATATATAAATCTAGAAATATCATTCTGGTATCAAGTGCTTAATAGTGCGCCAGTAAGAAGACTGAACACTTAAATAAAACTAAAATAAGGTTTCTCATGCCCCTGAACCGTAATGGCTCTAGGCCAGGAGAAAGTCATGTATCAGAGAAGAGCCACTGCTGCAAGTTCTCACTCACATGTGAGATCTACACAGCTGCTCTCACAGGAGTGGAGGGTGGCAGAGCTCTGAGCAGAGGCTGGGGAGTACAGCAAGAAGGGTGCAGAGGACAGCAGTGGGTACCAGGTTGTAGCAGGGTAGGGTAAGCAAGTTACTGGCCCACAACACAGCAGGGAATCTAAACAGCTAACTGTATATCCAAAAAAGACAGTGGAGAGGACTTTGAGTACTCCTGACACAAAACAGTGACAAATACCTATATAATGGATCTGAACTTATGATGCATAAATGCATTAAATTGTCACACTATGTCTTATAAATATGTATGACTACTATGTGGCAAGGAAACGAAAGAAGGAAAAATTAAAAGCACAAAAAGGGGAAGACAGAGGAAGAGTGAAGTTATTAGATCTCTGGAGAGCAGGAGAGAGAAGAGAAAGATAGTCAGGAATGGTTCCTTGGTGGGATACTAGGATAGAATTTTCAAACACGAACAGGACTCACGTGTCCATGAGTGGGTGAGATGGGACCAGGGAGAAGGATGGCTTCAGATCCAAGGATGAGAGTCTTGTAAACATTTCGCTTACCGAAAACCTAGGATTGGCCTAAAATTAACTAAAAATACACCTATATTCCTAGCACTTCACTAAGGCAAAGGGACTGTGGGTTCAAAGCAAGTTCTGGCTACTTCATCAACAAGTAAACACATATTCAAAATAGCATGTACATAGCAAACACTCAGATGAGCTTGGCTTACCTTTTCCCCCTTCTAACAACTTTTTAACAGAGAGCCTTGGAAGTGGCTCTGTCTGTGGAGATGACACTTTGGCAGCTGGAGGGTTCGCCTTGCTGTGCAGCAGAGTCTGGAGTATGAGGCAATCCTCCAGCTGTCTCAGCAGCAGCTTCCAGTACTCGGTGTCAAGAGAAAGGGCTTCCCAGGAGTCTGTGAGGGCTTCTGCATCAGCACCCAAAACCGTCTGGGAGAACTGAGAGAAGATACCCTGCTCATACTTTGGGCAGTGTGTCTGTATTCACTGTTGTGCTAGGGACTGAACCCAGGGCCTTAACTATGCTGGGTACATGCTCTCCTGCTGAGCCACACCCCCAGCCATCGGGCAGACTCTGAATCAACATAAATGAAAGCAACAAAGAAGTAATTTTACAGATTCAGTGCTTGACTGGATCAGACGGGAAACTCAGGACATTGAGAGGAGGTCCTGTGGAGATGAGTCAGGCTCAACCACTGTGCACCTTACCATCTTCTGGCCTCTGGCAAGGGCTGGCTCTGCTTACGGCATTGACAGAATGTACCAGCCAACTCTATCACTGTAAACACCTCAATCTGGTAGTGTTACATTTAGCCCATAACCTCCAGGACTGACAATGTATACAGTAAATCACTATGTTATGAGATGTTAAACTAACAGCCCCTAGGAAAAAACCACCGACCTGCCATTTAAGCAAGTCTTTTCTTTTTAATGTAAATGAGCCCTTGGAAGAAGAAGAGAAAACCCATACAGCAACACAGCAACTTTGGTAGATAGTGCTGGTCTGTCTGACCCAGTGCTCAGTATGTAGGAGGAGGAGGAGGAGGATGGAGATAATCGTGGACTGCAGAACCTGAATAAACCCAAGAAGTGGTCCAGTCTGAAGCCTGACCCCTTAGTGAGGAAAGCATTACCATCCATCCATTCAAATTCCTTACCCATTCCACACTACACGTTCCAGAACACTACAAGCCAATCAGACTGGCACAGAGCAAAGCTCTGCCCACTTACTTTCTTATCTGTAGCACTGCTGGACATCTGTGCAGCAACAGAATGCCCAACGTGTGCAGACAGCAGGGCAGCTCCATTGTTCTCTGACTGGATACAGGCCGTGCGCATTTGCTGCCACCAAGGGGACACAGACTGAGAATCCCATGTCTCCTCCATGGCCACTACAGAGGCAAAATAAAATCAAAAGGTAACATCTTACCCTGTCAATACGGGTGTTAGTATGTGTTTGATCCTTTATGCTTAAGCTAAATCCCTCAGAGACGGAGCTGCATACGTCTAAATGCACTAGAAGATTAATACTGTGTGCTAGCTAGGTTTTTGCCAACTTGACACAAGCTAGAGCCATCTGAGAGAAAGCAACCTCAATTAAGAAAACACCTCCATAAACTCGGCCTGCAGGCAGCCCGTGCAGCATTCTCTTGACGGGTGATTGATGTGGGAGTGCCCGGCACACTGGGGATGGTGCTCCCCTAGGTAGGTGGCCACGTGGGTATGAGAACGCAGACTGAGCATGGAGAGCGAGCCAGTAAGCTACACTCCTCCAGTCTCCACTTCAGCTCCTGCTTTCTAGGACCTGCAGTTCACTGAGCTCCTCAGTTAGATTGCTACCTGAAAGCCTTAAGAAGAAATAAACACTTTCCTCCGATGTTGCTTTTGGTCTTTATCACAGCAATAAAAATTCTTAGACATTGTAATTGATTTTATTCAGAACATTTACCTTCCATTTGTTTATACTATTAGTCATGCTGTTTTTGAATCAATACCAAATTCTTACTTAAAATATTTTCATCATTATGAAATGGGAATATTGGGGATGGAGATATAATTATGTTTAACTTAAAATTTTTTTTTCATTGTTTACTTTATGTGTATGGGTTTTTGGTCTGCATGTATGTCTGTGTACTACATATGTGTCTGGTGCCCAGAGAGGCCACATGAGGGCCATGGATCCCCTGGAACTGGAGTTGCATAACAGTTGTGAGCTACTTGGGTAGGTGCTGGGAATTGAACCTGGCTTCTCTAGAAGAGCAATGGATGCTCCTTACCTCTGAGTCATTTCTCCTACCAAAATAGGCAAAATATTATCTGCGCCAAAGACTGCTTTCCGGTGACATTGTATCTTCTGAAGGCTGATTTTCATTGTCTTACACTAAAGCACAATGCAAATGCACATAAACTTTCGACCAGTGCATGAAGACTTCAATGTGTTCACAAGGCCAAGGATGCAAACCAGGGCCTTGTATAGCCAAAGATCTACCTCCTAGCTGCACACCACACTGAAATGTTTACCACGCTATAGTCTGCTTGTGTTGAGGGGAACTGCTCCTGTCTTTCTAAGACATTTCAAACACTACATTCTTTTCTGAGCATTGAAGCAGAAACCCTGGGAGTACTGGCCTCTTACCTTTCATCTTGCTCAGCAGGGACAGCATGGTGTGAAGACAGCAGACAGACTGTGGTTTGTCCAAAATATCTTTTTCCTTTGAAAGCCAGACACTTAGGAGCAGAGACTGAAATAAAATTTGAATCTTTTCAGCCTAAATAGTATTTAACATAAGATTTCATTCACACTTTCCTGCAGTGTGCACATGTACACAATGTTTCAACTGTCTAGCTGGGTCCTTGTTCTATCATGTAATGTGGATTAGACTGAGGTATAGTTTACCTGAGAGTGTCTCCACATCTGTGGGCACCTGAATCCAGCCCCTTCTGTGTTCCCTCAGGTTACACACTACCTTCCAGTCTAAGCCACTGTTAAGAGAACGCCACCAGGAGGGACAGCACTGAACATCTGCTGCTGAGTAAAGCCCCAGCTGCAGGCTCTGATGGGAGACACAGGGTGGGGCCACCTTGTTCTTGCTTTTGCCAAAGACACAGGGCCATGGTGGTGGGGAACAAGCATAAACTTCCAAGTTACCATTCTAAGATCCCCAACAAGTTACGAAAAGTGTATTTTAAACAAAGCCACTTTGGTGAAAACGGAAGCCTTTCTACATCTTTAAGATTTGTTTAACTTAATGGATTAATTCGGAGAAGATGGAAATTTGAGCAGTGTCACATCTGTAAAGGCTGCACCTCGATTGGTTATACAACTGCACTGCTTTATGTGGAAGAACTCTAAAAGGGATTGGCTTAAATGCATTAGTTCATGTGACTTTGCGGCAGTGAGGGTAAGGAGCTGGAGGTGGAGTGTACGAAGGAGATACCTCTCCATAGGTGACTCAGGACAGGAACCTCAAAGTGGGTGATATTATATTACCTCATTTGATTGTAACATTTCAGAAACAGAGGAAGGAGTCCCTAACTTCCGGCACCATGCACATAATAACTTAGAACTTCAATTAGAACCTAACTCATATGTGGTTTGAGCACATATACACACAAATGTACACATAAATGTGTATATGTGTGTAACTTTTACATATATGAAATCACTCATAAGCTTTCTCTCTTTAATATGAAATCTTATTTCTCCCCTTTTTCCTTTCAGGTTTCTTCTATGTCAGCCCCTTTCTAGCTTAGCCTGTATAAGAACGGATTTTCCCCATGTTCATAAAATAATGACAATGTGTCAAATGCCCACAGTTAGTTGGACAACATGATCTGCTGTCACTGGCTTATAGGATGAAGGGAGGACACCACAGCCACTGACTTAGAGAAACAGGGTCATATTCTAGCATGTTCTCTCTACCACCAGTGACCTAGCGTGCCGCTGAGTTCATAAAATTGATTCCTCTTAATCTGTATGCCCAGGGTCTTCCTCTCATAACCACAAACTGGTTCTCAGAGAGAACAACCGTCTCACTGTTTGCCTGTGTGCATGTGCTGTGAAGCACAGGGAAGTACTTCCTACCTTTAGGATCATCGTTCAGTTGCTACTAGACCTAACTATTGGTTGTGTTATAAAATGTGTGACCAGAATTTACCAGAACAGTACATCACGTCTAAAACTGAGTGTGGTGCACAGCTGCCACCCTGCATGCGTGAGGCTGAGTCACAAGCTCATGGATCACGAGCTCCAGATCTCTCTATGCGACACTGCATGACTCTAAGCTCACAAACTGCCACCAGTTTTTAAGTATACTTGAAAATTTGTTTATGACTCCATTAACAAAAAAGTTCAAAATAGTCATTAAAGGACAACCCAAAACTGCTTTAGATGGAGATAGCTAGGCTAAAAACACTCTATACTGTGAACTATTCTACTTTCTGCTCCCTCAAACCCCATCCCAGGCCGTAAGCAAATCCTGAACAAGTGAAAACCAGCTCTTCTTTTTCCTTCCCAACTCTCCCTGTGTCAGTTCCTTCCATCTTTTACCCAGAGTCAGCCTTTGTTCTCACTCTAAAATGTTTTTTTTTCTTTTTAAAAATAAACTTAAAATTTCCCACTAGCTAAGCTTTTGTTCAAAGGTAGATCAGTACAAAATGCAGATGCATTCCTATCAGAACACAACGTAATTTTAGAACTGCTTATAACAGAAAGATACTTTAAAATTCAGGGACAATGAAAGTGAATACAGAGACAAATAACACATAGGACACACGCTGATACCCACAAGAGGAACATCTGCCACCGAAAAGCCACTACCAAGTGGATACAAAGGAAGACAGTGTTCCAAGCCAGCACAGCAAGGAATAAACACCATGCATAATCTGAACATGAAAGCACGAATCTACATGTATGAATTAGCCGATTCCATATATAAGTATGCCATGTGAAAAAGACAGTTGTGAAATAATACTGTGGTAACAGATTAGGAACAGCACAGACTATAAAGTTTAGTGAACGCTTTACTTCTACTAGGTAACACCTAAGACTTGCAGAAATCTGTACCTAAGAATGAAACAAAAATTCCGTAAGAGCTCACCGTTTGGGAACATCTCCTTTTATGTCAATGCCCTTCATGCCTTACTCCTGACTCAAAGGATGCAATAAGCTGCCAAGACAGCATCTGTTAGCCTTTTCTTTCTACACACAAGGCAGTACTGGTCAATCTTTCACCTGAGCTGATTTTCTAGTATTTCCTGAATACAAGCAGAACTTGATAAAACCATAACTGTTCTGAAAAGGTGAATTTGCTAACACAGCAATATAGTACTAAACTGAATGTAAATGCCTGGCAACAGAAATACCTTTTAAAAAGCTTCTTCCTTGTTCTCTCCACAGTATGGAGGATGACTAAACCCAAGGCCTTTGCACATGCCACACATTCACTTTATTGTTGAGCTATACCCCTAGCCTTCTTTTTGCTTTTGAAATTTTTAGACAGGGCCTTATTGAGTTAATTGGGCTGCCATGAGTACCCGCAGGACAGGCAAGCCTTAAATCTGTGATCCTGTCTCCACTGCCTGAGAAGATGGTACCACAGATACAGCTACGCTTTTATGCCTGGATGGAAGCCCTTCTAAAATAATTTTCTTTTCCTTCTCCATGTCCCTGTCCTAACTTCTTCTCTCCATCCTGAGTTCCTCTTTTTATGTTTTGTCATGAGACAGTGTCTCACTGTGTAGTCCAGATTAGCTGCAAACTCATGCCTCAGCTTCCCGAAGTGTTGAGATGATAAGCATGCACTTTCATGAATATAATTCTAATAAAGCTGTCACTTATAATACATTAAAATGAGAATGTAGACAAACTAAGAGAACAAGTTATTAGAACAGGAACAATGGTCACTGTGCTATTCACAAAGGTTACAAAGAAAGAATTATACAAATATGTATCTTTTTTTAAATTTGCCTTTTTCCATTTTGTATATTTGCTTCAAGGTTTCTCAATAATTCTTTTTTATTTTTATCACAAACATACAATCAAAACATACAAAGTCTGCTTAATCCTTCAATTACTAAAACACATTCACTAACTGATATTCCTGTATATTTTAACTGTCTTACCTCCTGAGGTGCACACTTTCACAGACTAGTAGAAAAAAACCCATCTTTAAAGGACTTCTAAATGTTCAATAAAAGTTCTCACTAAGCTCAGTACTAAGCTCACAGGGTGGGCTGTCCAAATGCTGGCCAAAACCTGAGATGTGTGCTGGAGTTCGAGAAAACAGTGTGAATGTGTGCATGAGCAGGAGCAGCAAGGAGGGAGCTGAGGAGATGGATGGACACAACAACATTCTTCTCGTTCATACTGTCCTACTTCTTTGGAATTCCAGTTTGCAGTTAAGGAAGATTGTTAATCTGAACATTCATCATTAGTAACATGTTTGCTTACTTGTTTTTGTATTCTAGTTTTCTCATTGGTTGATTCTTCTGTTTTACATGCATGTAAAGATTCTATTCTTAAATATTTCAAGTTTGAAAATGTTGACATCAATTTTATATGCATTTAGGTAAGTTTGTTTTTTAAAAGCTTTTAGTTCTAATATAACAACTGATGATCAAAATCTACTATAAATGCATTCACCTGTTGGACTCTATATTTGAGCCCAAATATTTATAAAATAAAATGACCCTGATATCATAATTGCAATTTTCTTTGATCATTTCAGGTTTTTCAGTGTATGTTATTTTTTTTTTAAGATTTATTTATTGGATATGAGTGCTCTATCTGCATGTATACCTGCATGCCATAAGAGGGCCTCAGATCCCCAGTATAGATAGTTGTGAGCCACCATGTGGTTGCTGGGAATTGAACTCAGGATCTTTGGAAGAGCAGACAGTGCTCTTAACCACTGAGCCATCTCTCCAGCCCCTTAATGTACATTTCTGATACACTAAGGATAATGATTTTAAATTTAACGCTTCTATGCAACATCTGCAAAGGATTCAGTAAAAACACCTTACCAGTAACTGCTGAGGGCTAAGTCCAGCAGACTCCAGGGTTTGACACATATCCTCAGTGGAGCTTTCTCCATGCAAACACTTCCAAAAAAAGAAACTGCCTAGCAAAACAAACAAGTAAACAAACATGTTACTAATGATGAATGTTCAAATTAACAATCTTACTTAACTGCAAACTGGAATTCCAAAGAAGTAGGACAGTATGAACGAGAAGAATGTTGTTGCTGTTTTGTTTTGTTTGAGAGGGATTCTCTCTACATAGCCCTGGCTGTACTGAAACTCACTATGTAGACCAGTCTCACAAAGACCCACCTGCCTCTCCCTCCTGAGTACTGGCATTAAAGGTCTCCATACCCAAAAGAAAAGAACCTAATGTGTAAATTTGATTTAAAAGAATGGAAGGCAAATCATTATGCCTTAAGACCTCCTCTTGTGTGTTTATAGTATGCACACAGGTGGAGGAGAGAGGTCAATGTTGAAAGTCTTCCTCAAATGCTCCTCACCTTATTTTTTGAAAAAGCTCACCCACTGAACCTGGAGTTCACCAGTTAGGAAAGGCTAGCTGACCAAAGAGTCCCAGAGATTCTCGTATTTATGTCTCCCCAGTGCTAGGATTATAGGCAGATGCCACCGTGCCTGGCTTCTTACACAAATGCTCTGAGTTCTAACTATGGTTCCCAGGTTTGCATGGCAAGCACTTTACTGAATGAGCCATTTCTCTACTCCCAACACTTTCTTATTAGAAGGCTTATTAATACAATTAAACTTATATGACATGGTGTGTGAATACCCAGAATACATTACTGACAAAAAAAAAAAAAAAAAAAAAAAAAAAGAACATTAAAATCTTTGTCACTGATTTTTAAAACAAAAGGAGGCATTGAATTGTTGTACAGGACTTCTGTAGAAGGGGGAGGGTATACGGAACAGATTACAGGGCTTTACCTACCTAGAGCCACATACTCCTCTTCACTTATCTTCTTTATGCTGAGCATATCCTTCTCATAGTCCAGATATTCGAGGAAGGTCTGAACAGGCAGCACTCCATCTGTATCCTCGGAAAACCAGACCGTGGTCTTGGTGTTTTCTTGCTTGTACTTTTCCAATAAGACTCGGAGCTTCAGGAGTTCCTTATCGTCCAGCCTTAGCAGCACAGCCAAGTCCTTCAAGAGCAAGAGTAGGCCTTGTCTTTGTGAATTGCCACAAATGCTAGCCCATGATCAGAAACGAGATTCCAGGCTGTTGGGCAATGGTGACTTTTAAAATTAGAATGAAATATGACAGAGGTAGTGTACTGTTTCAAATGTTAGTTTTAAATGGGATTTCATAAATATGATGCTACGTAAATATGATGCTACATAAACCTTGGAAAACTATTTACTGCTAACAGTGCCATTTTAAGAAGTGTCAACTGTTGGGCAGAGTGAATGGAATTTTATGTTAAGAAGTGGGAAATAGTAAGAGCTGGAGAAGACAGGAACTCCACAAGGAGAGCAACAGAACAAGAAAATTTGAACACAGGGAACTTCCCAGAGACTCATACTCCAACCAAGGACTATTCATGGAGATAACCTAGAACCCCTGCACAGATGTAGCCCATGGCAGCTCAGTGTCCAAGTGGGTTACCTAGTAATGGGAAGAGGGACTGCCTCTGACATAATCTGATTGGCCTGCTCTTCGATCACCTCCCCCTGAGGAGGGAGCAGCCCTACCAGGCCACAGAAGAGGACAATGCAGCCACTTTTGACGAGAACTGATAGACTAAGATCAGAAAGGAGAGGAGAACCTCCCCTATTAGTGGACTTGGGGAGGGGCATGCATGCAGAAACGGGAGGGAGGGTGGAATCGGGAGGGGAGGAGGGAGGGGTTTATGGGGGGATACAAAATGAATAAAGTGTAATTAATAAAAAATAAAAAAAATTAAAAAAGAAGTGTTTTTAGAGTACTATATACTGTTCTAAAAGCCAGATCCTCAAAAATACATATTATAGAATTGAAAAATAATCATAAAGGACGTCAGTGTAACTTCATTTTCCAAGAAAACTAAATCACATGCAGCTCCATGTCTCTGTGCTGCATGAACAATACACCATGACACAGGCCGCACTGCATCTAGTCGTAGGTCCTCTTTACAACCAAGGATACAAAGATGTCGACGTCTCAACTAGAGCCTGCCAGCCGTTCAAGCCATTTCACACAAGACCTGTGAAGACACACTACCTGATATTATCTTTTGCTTTTCAAACCCTGTAAATCTGCCTTTTGCTTAGTGCTACATGATTGAAAGCACAACCATATATATTCAGCTTTGTTCTGTTTTTGTCTGTTTGAGACAGGGTTTAGTTATGCTACTTTTATTCCTGGACTTGTGACCCTCTCTCAGCCTTTCATGTAAGGGAGGCTCCAGGAGTGTTCCGCCATGCCTGGCTGTTCAGTCCTGCTGGGCACATGCCCAGTCCTTGCTCCTGATGAGAAGAACCTAAGAACTAAGTGTGAAATTCTTCCTGTAAACCTCCCTCTGTCAACTTGCGCTTTCTGATGCTTACAATTACTAGACACACTGATCCTGAAGAACTGTTTTCATAAATGTTAATGGTAATTAGAGAATGCTACCATGAACGTATTACTAAAATGCTAAAATCTAAAGTCCCCCAAACAGAAGATATCACAACGTATTCTTTCATTTTTCGGTTTAAAAACTATTTATATGATTGTATATGTGAAGAGAAAGTTTTCTTCAAACCTTAACTTTCACTAAGACAGGCTAATTTTCAAACAAGTATTTGTCAAGGGGTGACTTGACAAACCACTTTAATAAACCTGCCTCCGATACCCAGAAGACATGGGGGTTCCAAGCTGGGAAACTCACACCAGGAACAGTTATCTGAGAGGAAGAAAGACATTCTATCTCACTAGTTTCCATTAAGGGAAACTTTGAATGCAAGTTTTAGAGCACTATACTAAAGACTGCAAGGGGGTGTCACTACTTGATGTTTCTAAGACAACACTGAGTATAGTTATCTCTAACACTCTGATGGGAGACAGGCTATTATAGAATTGTACTTCAAGATATAATTCACAAAAAAGCAAACAGCATTAATTTATTAACTGCAGAAAAACCGACTTCTAGTTATGCAGAATCTCTTTTATATTTTCTTTAAAACAGGGTCAGTGAGACAGTTCAGCAAGTGAAAGCATTTGCTACCGAAGCCTGATCTGCACTCAATCTCTAGAACCCATGGTAGGATAGAGAGAAGCATTTCCCGACAGTTGGCCTTTGACTACCACATGAGCTACAGCAGGTCTACACCCACACTCACGGGCATACAAAAAGTAATAATAAAATGAAAAAGTAAAGACAAAAAATTATAGTTTTGTCACATCAGAAAACTGAAAATATTTTTATTGTAAAGTTTTACGAAACATTTTCTTTTTTTTAAAAGTCATCTGTGGTGGTTTGAAGGAGAGTAGCCCCATAGGCTCAAAATTTTGAATTTTTGGTGGCCAGTTGGTAGACTGTTGGAGAGGAATAGGAAGTTGGTCTTGTTGAAGTAGATGTGTCACTGGAGGTGGGCTCTGAGGTTTCAAAAGCCCATGCCAGGCCTAGTCTCTGTCTCTGCCTGCCTATGGCCCAGAATACAAACTCTCAGCCTCATGCCTGCCTGCCTGCTCCCACCATGATGATGATGGACTGATCCCAATTAGACCTTTTTTCAAATAAGCATTGCCTTGGCCATGATGTCTCTTTATAAGCAATAGGACAGTGAATAACACATCACCTTAAAAAATGTCAATAAAAATCAAAGGAGTCCAAAACAGTAAAGATGAATCAACAATGAGAGTTAATATTTTGTATTCTTACAAAATATAAATATACTAATATAAATTAAGGAACAAGGGATAGAAAAGAGGCCTGATAGAGAAAATATACATTTCACTTCTTAAAAACGACAGGAAACCCACCCCAAACCTTTAGTTCCGTGTTGTTTACTTGAAAAGTTTAAAAATTAAAAACACTAAGAGGGACTGCTGCACATAACATCAACATTCGTGGTCACTCACATCATCGGAGAACGGCGTATCTGAGTGAAAATCAAGCGAGTTCAAGTGGCTGACAGACTCATAAAGCTGTAGTAATTTCAATTTACTGGCACAAAACTGCAGCAGTCCTTCATCAACAGACTCAAGCTCTAAAAGGCAGACGAAAAACAGACACACTTAACAGACTCATAAAAAGACTTTCATGATCTCTTAAATACGTAATGCCTAAATGGGTTAAATATTGATGTGCTTAACCTAGCACAGATTTTGAAAGCAAAGATAAATTTTCCATTTTAGTAAAATGTCCAGCTTTTTAAGTAAAACAGCATTTTCTAACAAGTCAAGAAGAGGTACAGAGCAAAGAGATTTCTGTGTGGTACTTATATTTAGAGACGACCCTGACCGTGCTCTGCTTCGCCCAGCATTAGGCACTCACTGTGCTCACCTAAGAATGTGTACATGGAAGGCTGCCTGGCTCTGCGGTAACCTAGGGGAGCTCAACGACAATGAATTCACTCAGGAGCTATGGCCTGTGATGAGTGTTATCTTCAGGACAGCCTGGCAAGGTGCCCTAAAGTAGACTTCCACTAATATCCTCCACCAATTAAGTTTTATTTTGTTCAAGATTAATGCTTAGGAAATATTCCCTACATAGCACACTTCTGCATAATAATTTAAGTATTTCTTGCTAATGTGAAGCAAATATATATTCTCTGAAAAGGCAGATATGGAAAACTAGAAATGCTACCCATGTTCTCACAGCTATAATAAAGCAGAATAAAAAACTCAAAATGTTCAGGACTGATTTATCAACAGAGCTTGAAACTGATTTGTTTTTTTAGTTTTTGATCTGGCTTATTTTCTACATAATTTCAAACCTTTTGTTAATGCTTTGAAGAGATATGGGACTTTATAAGGAATAGCATGCCTTTTCAGTGAGCTGTTTCCACTGAGGTGTGGGCTCTAAGATGTCCACTATTTAACAAGAGCCGGCATTCTAAATCTACTGAAAGTGTCAAGAATGAAACAACCTCAAAATTGGATGCTTTATGTCATGTAAGAAAGTAATGAGATTTTTTTTTTTAAGTTACTGGAGTCTGGCTTAAACATGATTAAGTATAAATGTAATTAAATGTAAATCTGGCTTTACATATTATTGTTAGGAAAAAGTCATAAGGAGATGGATTCAATCTACTGCACACCACAACGTAACTGACACTAGAAATTTGAAGCCATTTTATTTTACAAGCTCAGCTGAACAGAATACAGAGTTACAATTCACAGTTTCAAATGTAATTCTTTTCAGTCATGTTTAAACAAATAAAAGTCAGCCCCCAAACCCACCCTGATAATGTAATCACAAGCTGTGAATTCTTAAACTCCTTCCTCTGCTCATAAAAGGATGAGGCACTGAGGTGCTCTACATCACTTCAAAGACTAAATATTCTGGTCCATTACCCCAGTCAGAAAAAAATATTACTTAAGAATGTTTCTAGTAGAAACCTCTCTTCTCCTAGGAGGCAAAGCAACCCCAAAGATAGCAAGAGAACCTGTTTGGGTTTTATTGTTGTTATTTGGAAGACTGGGTCTCCTATGTAACCAGTCTGGCCTGTGAACTCAGAGCTCTGCCTACCTCTGCTTCCCAAAGACTGAGATTAAAGGCTTGTGCTATGATCCCCAGCTCTGTTTGCATAGCATCAGCTCATCACCCTCATCCCAATGGCTTTAACAATGTTCTGTAACTCTAAAAATAACAGGTTCTTATCATTCTTTAAAAAAAAATTTATATTGTTATTAATTTCTTGGCTCACAGTTTTTTAAGATTTAAAATAGTACTTTTATTAACTAGATAAAAATTTGATATATGCACATAATACATTTTGAGTATATTCACCTCCACCCTTCCCAACTTCATGTACACTTTTTTAATTTTTAAAAATTTATTACCAAAAAATTTGTTCATAAATAAAAATATCATACATCAAAAATAACCAGACAGAAAAATATAGGCAGCATTTGGAATGGAAGCGGTGGAACTTCACATTAAACTTAGATATTTTATTAATGCTTTTGAGGAATGGGTGCTTTCTAAGCATGGTATGCCTCTTTTTTTGCTCTTTAGATAACTCACTGAGTACAATTTCTGCTTCCCATCTACTCGTGGATGTGAGACCATCCACTGGAGTGTGTCTGACCTACCAGAAGTCCACACCCTACAGGAAATTGACTCTGCGCCTCCAGAAGCCATCAACTGTCAGTAGCTCCTCAGGAAGGGGTGGAGGCTTAGGATCTCCATTGCCCTCACTGCAGGGACGTGTCCTGGCTTGCTAGTGACAGTTTTGGAGAAGGCAACCCCAGCTACAGTGACATCATGAGTGGAACAGTTCTGTCAGGTCCAGACAACTTTCCTCCAGTTTCCCTTTCCACACACCCACCCACCTCTAGTTCCTACAATCTTTCTGTCCTCTTTTTCAAAATGTTCCCTAAGCCTTGGATGGAGGGGATACAAGAAGACATTCTGTTTGTGGTTGCTCTCATCATTCTGTACTGACATCTTTCCTCAAAATAGTGAGACATGAACAAAAACCTGAATTCCTCATAACAGCTAATACAGTCAGAGACTGTTCAGTTGAAGATCAAATGCATGTTAGATAGGAAATCTTTTAAAGCTCCTAAGCATTAAGGGTATGCCATAAATACCCTATTTTATGTCTATCTGCCTATTCCCTCTATCTGCTTATCGATCATCTATCAGTCATCTCTAATATAATGTGATAGCATTATATTTCCCATAATGAGATATATAATCTGAAGTGAAACCATAACAATATCTATTACCTTGATTTTTTAAAGAGTCCATTAAAGTCTGAGTAATGTTTCTAAGGCAGGAAAATGATATACGTTCACTGGACAAAATGCTTTCCAGAGCCTACAAGAAACCGTGAGCAATTTTAGTGATTATACAGCAATGGTATTGCTTTAACTTTGTACACATGCCTGTATCTTTATGACCCCAAGTTCAACACACACACCTGAGAAGTCAAGTTACATTAAAAGTAGTATGTGACCGATCCTATGTTCAGACTGAGAAAGAAAGAACTAGAGGGTGATTGATGGGTCATAGAGTGACCACACAACATAAAGAGGACACAGCTACTCTCCAACAGGAAGTCTCAACTAGCCTCTACTAGGAATGAATGAGAAGCAGAGGTAACTGGCATGTCAGTTATGAAGGCTGACAATGTCATTGCCACTTGCGCATACGCACATGAAACACTGCCACTACGACAGTACACATTTTACCCTCCCCAATCTCGGCCAACCCAGATGCTTACACATCTTCATTCACAGGTTCTAAAACACCTCATCATGCCTAGGTAGCAACCAGGGGAAACATCAATGAGTCAGGAACAGCTGACCCTCATATTTAGCCTTTCATTTTAGCATATTAAATTGGATTTTTGTCTGATGAGATAAGGTTTAAAAACCCTAATCCTATGGTGGATGTAGTAGGGCACAGGATTCCCAGCACTCAGGAGCACTCAGGTGGATTTTTGCTAGTTCCATATAAGCCAGAGCTACACAGTAAGATCCTGTCCAAAAATAAATAAAAGATAAACATCAGTCCTGTAATACAATCACTTCAGTATTTGAGGGGTCAAAAGGGCGTCGAAGGCGACTCACAAAACCGTTCCTATACCATTCCTATAATGAGGCAAGCATCTATAGTACAAAAAGAAGGGACCAAACAGACCAAAACCCAGGATAAATGTAATTTTCTCCATCCTTCTAACATGGCAGGCTGTTGGGGGCGTACACTTTCTCTCCATCACTGGATTCAGTCTCCCAAAGTCTTTATTGAACTTTGCCTTTCCTCTAGTGTTGTGACGCAACAGACAATTTTGATTTTTCTAGCATCTTAAATAAAATCCATGCTTTCGTGTATGGATTGATGGTATGGTGAGAGGGCGCAGGACGAGAATCCCTCATAAGAGAGCTTGTGCCATGCGCCATCCCAGCTCCGCTGCTCTGTAGGTAAAGATAATGATGGCACATGATAGAACTTTTGTCTTATGACTTTTTCTATGAGATTCACTGAACTCTCTCAGATGGCTGCCTTGTCATCACAATGTCATGTTCAATAACTGAGATTTCTGGCCTGAGGTTAAGAAAAGGCAATTAGCAGTCAGTGGAATGGAAAATTAGAATAAAATCAAAGAGACTTTCTTGCTCCATATTAAAGCAATAAAGTATTTTGTTTGTTGTTTTTCCAGACAGTGTTTCCTTGTGTAGTCCTGGCTGTCCTGGAGTTCACTCTGTAGACCAGGCTGGCCTCAAACTCACAGAGATCTGCTCGCCTCTTTTTTCTAGGTGCTGGGATTAAAGACGGGAACCACTACCACCCAGCTAATAATGTATATATTTTAAAAAATGACTCCAGCACAAATCATTCCATACTAATTTCTGCCATATATGTAGTGAAATAATAATATACACACTGGTCTCTGGCCTTGGTCCCTGTCATAGCTCCTATAACTTCTAATGATAGTCTCCTGAATGACATGTGCTAGAAGACTCTTCTGTTCTAATGAATGGTCTTGGCCCCAGCTCTTGAACAACTATGCTAAAACCCTGCAGGCAGAAAAACTAGGAAAACATTCTGTTGTAACATCTGGTGTTTGCCCCAGATTCCTGATACAGAATTCCTGACACCACTGTAGCTTCATGGGAGAAAAGACCTCACTGTTTCAGTACAGTCACACATGATGGGGCTGGTTACCATGACAACCAGCAAGGAGCTTAGGGAATTATCATTTTTAGCTCCACTCCAAACCTCCTGGGAAGAGAAGAACTGAGGGGTGAGCTGAAGAATAATAGTCAATGATACAGTTGTGCCTAAGTAATGAAACCTCCATAAACTCTTGCAGGGATAGAGCCTTTCAACTTCAGATGGATAACACTGTATAACATGCAGAAGTTCCTGGGGAACAGGGAGGCTGCACACCCTCCACCGGAAGCACTGCCCCGTGCACCCAGCTAGTTGTCAGTAGTCTTTAATATCTGTTTCAACATATAAATAACTCAGGCTGCTCCCTGAGTCTGTGAGACACCTAGCAAACAAAGACAAAGGGACAGGTCAGAGCTCACAGTTGGCCTGAAGCATCCCAACCTACTGGCTGCCACTGGCATTGAAAAGTGGGGCGAGTTTTATGGGCTGAGCCCTTCAGGTCAGTAAAGTCCAAACTGACCTGAACCTCAACACTGAGCCACCAACACTGGGGACTGTGGGCTGCGGCATACGGCACTCTCATCAGTGCAAGTGCAGCTCAGAGAAGCAATGTGGCGTCTGCTAACACAGCTGGATATGTTGTTAGGTTTCCATCATTCCGGGTTTATGTATGCGCGCGCGCGCGTGTGTGTGTGTCAACATACACTCCTAGGTTGGAACATGAAAATAAAATTTTCCTTAGGGTTGATAACATATCAGTTTCTCAGCAGGGAAGTTCACTTACTATACACACTTACTTGTTTCTTGGTTGCAGGGTACTTAATATCAAGAATCACCTCCTTTATTTCCGTTTCAAATGAATCTATAATGAGAAAATCACACTAGAATTCTCAGTCTATCACAGAAAGATGCTTGTATGAGAGAAAATGAGCTGTCTGCACTCTGTCCTAAAGGAATCACAGGTTCCCCAAATTATCCTGAAGAAGTTTTCGCACCCCCTGATGTACACGTCATCCTCTCAGAGCATGGACATAAGATAAATGTCCCTCACCTCATCCTGGAAAGGGCTTGAGACAGCCCCGAACAGTCCAGCTGCACTCATAATCCAACATGCTATGACAATGATAAAGGCACCTACCAAGACTGTGGGACTTTGTTTTCAGCAAGGCTGCCAGTTTCTTCACTAAGTGTAGGTCCTTGGCTCTTTCACTCTTCTTATCACTAAAATAGTAATCACAACTTATTACATAATGTACATTGTGTTCTTTCTAATCCTGATGCAATCCAACTCGTTTTTTGTTTACGTTTCTTATTTAAAGGGATCATCTAGTGATATAACAAACCACATAACACCAAGTATAAAACAAACAAACAAAAAAGCCCAAAGTAAAGGACTATGCAGAATGTGCACAGCAAAATCACAACAGACACAAACCAACTCTTACCTCAGTGCTAAATGGAAAGGCACATTCACCGTTTTCACACTTGCTGACACCGGGTCAACAAGACAGATCTGGTAAGTCTGAGGCTGCCAACTCTGACTTGTCACATTGTTTAAGCCCATTATTTTGTAGCCAGGATACAGCAACCTAAGGCAATCACATACCAGTGGGTAAGATTATCAGCAGAAGGAGAAATCCCACAAGGTGCTCTGACTACAGCTACATCTTCATCAATGCAGGGGTATTCCCTGGGCAAACAAACACTGATAAACAGTGGCAAATAAATAGGAAGCTAAGTCAGGCAGAACGGACTCGGACAGAGGAGGTCTACTCTCCTTAAAGGTTCTAGGAAACTGTAGGAACACAAACCTACAGTCCAATGGCAAATGAAGCATATGCCTTGCTTAGCATCATTGGGAAACTCCGGCAGATTTTTCCTTCGGGGTTTTCACAACATAAGTAAAAGAAAAGTGACTTGAGCAAGCTCACTTAACTCAGCAGCAAACCATAACATTCTCTTTGCTATGCAATACATAATCCTCAATTATGTATCAGGCACTCATGGGAAAAACAGGATAGCACATTCTGCAATTCTCCAGTCCCTTGCAGTTTACTGCATGCTTTAAGGAAAGCTCCCTATAATTCTCTCTGGGACCAGCAGACACCAGGGCTTGCAGCTTACCTGCAATGCTTACCCACGTTGAAAGCACCTACTCTAGGCCCTTGCTGTGTGTTCCACACTTCCAAAATCCCCCTTCGTGGTGCGTAGATCACAAGGAACTGAGCTACTCGACTGGGACCTTGAGTATTTCCAAAGGGGGAGAACTCCCCCTTTTCTGGTACTCGCTCATGGAGGTCCTCCACAATTTGAATCCAACCGATCTGTGCATCCCGATACCCTTGCAGACAGAAAAAGGTAGCCAATCAGTTTATTCATCTGGGCTCAACAGTAGGTTCTCACGCACTTCTGAGTATTTAGTGGAAGGGAGGACATCAAGACAAGACAGAGAAGTACATTTCTTTTTATTATTAGACAGAAAAGATTAAAAACAATGCAATAACCTGTCACCAAAACATACTTGCTCAGATCACTCTTTTCCTTAAGAAGAAAATATTGTGGACATCATCAAAGCTTCCTGAGTCCATCCCTCCCTCTGCAACTCTGCTCCCATTCCCTTCCTTTCCTCTCTTTGAAAGATTCCTTACTTTAAAAACAAAAAACCAGATCTGGGAAGAATATTAGTTTAGCTAGTTAAAATATAAGCAAAGGTAAAGCTGCCCGCCTGCTGCTCACGTTCCCTGGTGGTGTAGAAGAGGGACCGCAGGTGGCAGAGCAGCATAAGGAAGACACTAACATGCTGCTGGGCTTGGGGTAGCCCTCTCATGACTAACATGCGTGGAGATCACAAGTGACTGAAGCAGTTGGAAAACACAGGCAAAGACATCAGCAACAACAGTGTCTTTATAAAGGAGAAGGAACGTTGCAGGAGGAGGAAGCTGACAGTGACAAAACTGGAAATAAGTGCAAGAGGAAGAGGCTAAAGTGCCTGTGACAAGCAGGAGTGTGCACAGGTCCTGGGTGCAAACCCCGCAGCACAAACAACCCAAGCTAACCACACAGAAGGCCAGTGCTGCAACTGAGTGTGTCAATTAGCTACCAGTCAACTGTTGTTGACCTGAGTTGATACTGAAAAGAAAAGTCAAGGAGGATCAAATACTGTTACCAACTGAAAACTGAAGGATGATAAAGTTGCTCAACTACTGGGATAAAAAGTAAGGCAACTTTTTCTCCATTTTTGTAGGGAAGTACCTTTCCACATCCGTACTGCAATTCCTCGAGCTACATCTAACAAGATTACTCTGCCAAAATCATCTGTGACTGCTGCCAGGGTATTACAAGGAGAGAGGGATATGCTTTCTCCATGCCGTCTAGAATCCGGAAGTCCAAATCTGTCATTAAAAAAATAGACAAATAAAAGGTAAGTCATACTCAAAGTTAGAAATATGGAATAATAAAATGTATAAATAAAATAGACTATGTCTATTTCTAAATTAAAAAAATATAAACCTTGCCTGGATTAACAATTCATCATATTTGACATTTGCAACACAAAATTTACAAAAGAAAAACATTCCCACAGTACTATTTTGTCCTTCCAGTTTTTCTTTGAATAAGAGTCTTGTCACAGAAAACACCACAACCAACTGCGCTGCAGGACACTCTGCTCCAACAGAGGCATCTTCTGTTTCCATTCCCCAGTGTCCCCAGTATGCTAGACAGCACATCTTGCTGACATCAACACATCTATCTGGAATGGTAAGGAACTTGGGCAGAACTAATTTCTTAGGACATTAATAAGACACACTTCTGGGTTGTCTGCAGTGTTCCTATGGATGATTAGGTAATGAGGGCTCTGATCCTGAACAGATTAATCCCTTAAAGGTTTATGATATGATAACATTATTGGAAGGTGGTGAAAATCAGAAGGGGACACGGTCGGGCATGGTAGAATACACCTTTAATCCCAGCACCCAGGAGGCAGAGGTAGGCGGACAGCTTTGAGTTCGAGATCAGCCTGGTCTACAGTCAAGGCTATACAGAGAAACTCTGTCTTGGAGAGAGAGAGAGAGAGAGAGAGAGAGAGAGAGAGAGAGAGAGGGAGGGAGGGAGGGAGGGAGGGAGGGAGGGAGGGAGGGAGGGAGGAAGGAAGGAAGGAAGGAAGGAAGGAAGGAAGGAAGGAAGGAAGGAAGGAAGCTGGACTGTGTCCTTGGAAGCCGTGTCTTGCCCTGGCCTCTTCCTGGATCCCATCTTTCTGCACTCCCTTAAGAGGGCAAAGGCTCTGCTCGGCCACATGTGTCCACTGCACTGGCACTCTGCTCAACCATCAACAGACTGAACACTTTTGGAACTGTGAACCAAAATAACTTTTTCCTGTTTTAAGTTATTTTTGACCTCAAATATTTTGACCTCAAAAACAAAAAAGTAACTAACCCATTGTCAGAAAAAAGAATTTTCCTGCTAAAGTGCTGTTGGTCTGTAACCAGCTTATGAGAATCCCCATGTGACAGCCTAAACATGAAATGAAAAGGAAGGGAGCTCACACAGAAAAAGACCTTGAGCTCGGTGTTTTCGGACTTCGTCACATGGATTTGAGGTACCAAAGGCCATTTGACTAATTTCTTGATTGCTGAGTGAATTCAGAATTCAGGTTGTTACAACACAGAGTGAGAAAAAAGGCTAGGATACAGTTCAGTGCTGCAGGGCTTGTTTCACATGAACCACGAACCACTTTGCAACTTCCTTGTTTAGATTGTAATGAATGCAAAGGTACTAACCTCAAAAAATTGATTTTACTAACAGTTCATTAATCCGCTTTCTCCAGGTGAAGAGCATCTTTAAAAGCAGAGCTGGAATATTACTTCTTTATGGTGGTATTTTATATTTAGGTAATAAGCAACAAATGAAAAGAAAGCCAAGCAAAAATCAAACCCTCTCTTCCAAAAAATTAAAGCAACAACAACCCCACTATTCAGATACACTGATGTGTTCTAAAGTAGAACACAGAAGGAAGTCCAAGCCAGCACTGTAAAGAGTCCCCCTCTTCTGGGAACTCATGTTTCAGTTGAAAAAGGCATCCTACATGAACGGTAATTCTCAGAAGCCACAAAGTTGCAGAGTCAGAAGATCAACTAAGGACCCCACGTGCGTGCAACTTTAACAGCAGTGCTCAGAGCACACGAGTGACAGAAGCATGGCTGACTTGCCTCACAGCTAGTGGGGTGGCTGGCTCCATCTTGGGCTTCTGCTTCTGGACAGTTTCTTCTTCATGCTTGCTTTTCCAACCAAGCCAACCACTGAAGAGAGGGGACACAAATGAATACTAGCTTCAGGACTCAGAGTACCAGAGTCCAGGCACAATCAAGTGAGATCTGAATCAGATCATTTAAAAATGCTGTTTCATTACCTGGCAGCACTAAAGAGAGCAGAAGTCAGTTTACTTGCAACAGCGAGCGCCACGTGAGATAACAGCGGCTGTGTGCTTCCCTGCAAAACAGACATCCAGAGAAAACCAAGATGCAACCTGTGTTCTAGAGGAGACTCTGAAGAGTATGAGTTGCAAAGTCTATTCCAGGAGCTCTTTCTGAAGGCATCAACCTCAGTAGCAGCAGCTATACACAATTAGCCATTGGATTCAAAAGTGAAAGCCACTAGTGGCACAAGTTGCTCTGGTCAAGTATTCTGACCTCAGCAATGTGAACTAGCACACTGAGGCAAGGACTTCCCATTGTGCTGAGCTGCTGCTGCCCTGTTACCAACCGTTAGGGTTTCTCTGTTTAAACTGTAGCTTAATGAAAACCAAGGAGGTCAGTAAGACATCAGCATTGTCTAGCTGAGCTATGGATTCCCCAGCTGTATAAGACTGCCTCTTCCCTTACTTTTTTATTTTTAAGTAAATATATATTTGTATAAAAGTAAAAAGACAGTTCAGCTCATCCAGAGAAGGCTATTTTTGTTTGTTTGTTTGTTTTTTTAAGTAAGGAGTGCTGCCAAATGTAACATAACTTTTCCCTATTTTAGGAAGCAATTTTCAAAATCTATATCAACTATAATGGGCAGCATGTTCTGTCTCACAGTTCCTTGTTTATTCTAATCCCTGGAGGGCTGACATAATTAAAAAACAGCAGTTGCACCAATATTTAAACAAACTTAGTCAAAGAACTTAGGGCTTTAGAGACACTATTTATTGGTTTTACCTTGGGTTTTTTTGTTGCTGATAAATATATGCACAGATATATGCATGCACAAGCACACACGTGTACCCTGATTTTCAGAGCTTTTCAGTAAATCTAAATAACTTAGAAAAAAGCTGGACTGGTGACATGGCACAGGAGTAGAAGTACACATAGCATAAGCTTGATGACCTGAGTTCAAGCACTAGAACCCACATGGAAGAGCCAGAAGTGGTGGCGTGCACCTGTAATCCTGGCACTCACGAGGGAGTGGAACAGGAAGTTCTTCAGCCAGCTACCAGGGAAAAGGAAGGAGCAAACTTCCAAGAGTTGTCCCTCTGGCTCACCCACAAACAAAACACATGCCTGCACACAAACAAACAAACACACACACAACACATGCCTGCCCTCACTCACACTCACAAAATGTGTATGCACTTACTCACACACACACTCCACACAAACACTTCTGTAATTTCTTTAATTATAAAAAAATTCTTTAGAAGAAACTTGTGATTAATTTTAACTTCAGGTAAAACTTACAAATTGAAACTTACTCATTCTAAGGCTATGTTACTGTATCAAATTTTTAGGCACATTAAAAAAAATACAGAGTGCCTCTACTCATGATGAAACTCATACCTCGAGAGCATAGAAGAAGCCAGTGAATGGACTGGACCCCACAGTGATGTACTGAGACATGGCAGGTGGACTGTTTTTAATGGCTGCATTGAATCCACCTATGTTGGAAGCAGTCTTCATTTGATCAAATGGTGACAGAGTCATAATACCTTATTATTAAAAGAAACAAGACAAAAGCCCCAGTTTGAAAACATTAAAATGACCTTATTTAAACCATTATTTTTGCTTCTGCTTTAAGATGCTACTACATTAGTTTTATTTAACTAAAAAGTAATTTATAAATATCCACATCAAAAAGTGCTGATAAATATTAAAAGTACTAACCTGAATTGCAAGCATAGCCTTTTTAAAATCCCTATTACTTTAATGATCCCATGTGATATTACTTTTTTACCAACTGTTTTAACTCACTAATCCTGATATTTTTTTCTTCTATTTATGAAGCAAGACTTGGGTTCCCTCTCATGCAGCTTAGATTCATGTTCCATTACAGCCCCTCCCACAAGCCTTTGCAGCAATTTTACTCCACATGCCCTCAGAGTAAGCCTTAACCATGGAGTGTCTGAAGTTTCTGCTCTTCAAAGAAACAGCTGTTCACACCGGGCCCGGCCCAGCCCCACTGTCTGTACCTCCCCAGACTGCCAGTCCTTTGCAGTCCATATGTTGGACACAGCAGACTGGCACTAATGTCCCAGTGCAGACTTGGCTAGCCTGATCCCTGGCAGTCCTAACTTGTTCTCCTGCCCTACACTATTGGTTGGCAGCTAAAAGTAGACAAACTCTGTCTTTTGTACCAAGCTGCAGAACTGTGCCTCATGCATATAAGGTGATACAGCTTACCGAGGGCCCTCTCCTCTCTCATCCCTTCAAAACCTGTGGAGCCATTAAAAAATAAATTCATGGGTGGGGTTGGGAGGGAATGAGGAAGGGGGCTACAGCTGGGATACAAAGCAAATAACCTGTAGTTAATATAAAAAATAAAAATTATATAAAAAATAAATTCATATTCACTGTTTTCATTAAGAGTCATATAAATCTTACTCGTGGCTGAGAAGGTCTTCACCTATAATTCTATTTCCTTAGCTGAGATCTTCCTGGTGGGACTATAATCTTGTCGTTGAAGGTTTTCTCTGAACACAGGTCCTTTCCACACTGTGAAACACACTGGATTTCCTCTGCACATAAATCTCCATAAAGTCAAGCTCACTGGACAACCTCCACACCTGCCTCAGTATCTATGAGGACCTCCTTGATAGTGTGACATGTGAGCAGAGGCCTGCACTGAGTAAGCAAGGGAAAACTGAGTGGCTATGTGGGCACTGTTCCAGGCAGAGGAGCAGCAATTATGATGTTCTGCAGGTGCTCCCAGGAGCCAGACCAACACAAAAGGACACAGTGAGAGGGGTAGGATTTAAGCCCACTGAGCACCAGAGCAGGTATTGGGCCCTGAATGTAACTGAGAGGAGCAAAGGGAGAAGGGAGGCATCTGGAAGAGCAAAAATGGAGCAGCAAGTTTGAGGAGAGGAAATCAAGAATTTAATACTGAATATCAAGTTTGGACATCCAGTAAAAATTCTCAGACAAGGAGCCTAAAACAAAAAGAATGTGAAGCCCAAAGTACTGAACAGAAATGGAGATAAAGAGTGGAAATGCTGTAATTTTATTTCTTGTTCTTACTTGTTATTTTTGAAAATAAGAAGTAGAGACAGTTACTGTGAGACAAACCCACCCCAGTCTGGCTTCTGTACATGGCTCTCTACCCCAGCTGCTCAAATCAAGCCATAAAGAGCTCCAGGCTGCCAAGCCCAGAGAGCACCCACCCACACCATTTACATCTGCAGGCCCACAGCCTCTGAACCTCGGAGCACGAGTCTATCTGTCTACTTGAGTCTCTGCTAGAATGTACCACAAGTCAGCATGCAAAACTTCATGCTTTACCCCCTTACGTATCTTCCTTACTCTCCTTTCAGTGAACAAGCTGCTCAGCCACCCAGCGGCTACAACTGAAGTGTGATGGCATCACCTGAGAGCCCATCCCTTAGGAGGCTGAGACATGGGGTGAGGAGTGGGGGTGAGCCCTTTTCACTCTCAATCAAGCCGTAATGACCTCCCTTGTTCCTCTAGTCTTCTGAGGTCTTTGGGGTCCCCAGGCCTATATTCATATTTTGTCCTCTGCTGAGCATGCTCTGACTACAAACCTGCCCCCAGCTGGCTCCTGCTCACCATCCCTGCCTCAATCCAGGTGTGTTCTCTGAAGCCTGTTCTTAGCATCCATCTACGCACTTCCTTTCTTCCAGATTAGTGGGTCTTCCTAATGCTGTGACCCTTTAGTACAGTCCCACGGTGTGCTGACTCCAACCATAAAATTATCTTCATTGCTACTTCATAACTGTGACTTTACTATTTATGAATCGTAATGTAAATATCTGATGTGTGACCCCGGTGAAACGGTCGTTCGACCCCCAGGTTAGAACTGTGGTCCAGATCACAACTCTGATGATTCCCTCTGAAATGCCAGTGTTTTGGCAGCACCACATTCAGACAAGCTTTCTCAAGGCAGGGACTGCACTATCGTGTGATTCCAACACCAGCACTAGTGCCTAGGGAATAACAGTATTTCTTATTGAATGAGTTAGTTAAGACCTTTACATGAAGATGCACATAAAATAAAGTGTATTGTACCTCTTACTTTTTCATTTGTAGGCTGGGGAGTAAATGAATAGAATAATGTTTTCTATCCAATCATTTTCCCCAGCCAGCTTCAATGTTCCAAAGTCTAATTAACAGAGCAGGGAGGAGACCCTGGGCTGAACTCAACACTTTGGAAAATTTGTTAACATTCCTCTTAGCAAAAACCTGAAGACACTCATGTGTTCACTAATAAGGCATTCATTAGAGTAGTCCACGCAAGAATGATACACAGGACTGTGCAGGCAGAATCAGCAGGCCTCTGTGGCAGACACCTTCGGCCAGCCCTCCCCAGAACCCCTCCTGCCTTTCTAGACCTGACTTTCGAGTTCCTGCTGACTTCTGGCTGATTCAGACAATGGACCAGAGAAAGAAAGGAGAATGAAGTAGGGACGTCTTTTTCCCTGGCTCTTTTCCTGAAAGCTGGCTGTGACCCTGAGAAGTCACCCTGTCCCCAGGCACCAGTCCCAGTCACTGTGAGCGTGAGGATGGCTCCCTACCTGTCACTCTTCAGGCTGAGCAGGGGTTAACAGCTGCTAAGAAGTCCTGGTGTACAGATTATCACTGGTGCTTATACAACAGCATATCTGAACAAAGTCCCTGTAAAGAAACCTTTAAGCATCCTACGCCAAGGTCCTCCTGTAGGGCTAGGCTGACAAAATATCTCCTTAGTAACCCTGATGTGGCAATATAATGCTATTTTTAAGCACATACCTTCCCACACGGCAATATGCATGTTACTTATGCACTTATACACAGAAGCTAAAAGCCTCTCAATAGAAGGAACTTTTTTTTGTATTTATACATTGTTCAAATTTTATTCTATATGAAAATATTTTAAGTTAGTATTTCTTTCTACTTTTGCTTTACCACCTTAATTCTGAAGCTCACTACTTCTCACTAAGATTACTACAGTCTCCTCATTAACTTTTTTTTCTTTCTTTTTCTAAAATTTAGGATGGAGTATGGCCATACTGCCCATGGTGGTCTTGAATTTGCTATCCTCTTACATCAGCCTGCAGAACAGCTGGAATTATAAACATGTACTAACATCTCTGGCTTCCCCTAATGGTGACTCCTAGAGACCAATCATAGTCTCTGAACCGTCTCCAAAGTGGTTTTTCTAACAGGCAATGTGAGGACATTATCTCTTTGCTGAAAATTCTGTGGTTCTTGACATGGCTGAGAATGGTCTAAGAAAACAGCTATTCCTCCATGTAAGTACACGAGGCCTTGCAGGGGTAGATCCCTATCTATGTCCCTCCACTATGACCTCACTCCCACCAGCTCCTTGGCACTCACTGTTTCTCCACCACACTCTGCAACTCACCCACACATGTGTTGGCTAGAGGGTTTGCTCTTCTACCATCAGATTAAGCCAAGTATTTCAATGCTGGCACTCTCTCTTTCTCCTCGGTTCCTACTACAGGTGGTCTACTCTTACATGTGTCTTTCGACTAACCTCATGCTTCTAGGCAGTCACAACTTTTCTGTGTTTCTGCTTAGGGGGTTTTTCTTCTCTTTCTCTCCTTTATAGAATATATATATATATATATATATATATATATATATATATATATAAAACCTTCAAATACTGTCATGGGAGGAAACCTGCTTTATTTATGTTCTGTTGGTCCAAAGGTTACTTTTTTGGTTGTTGTTTTGTTTTTTGAGATAGGGTTTCTCTGTCTGTGTAGCCTTGGCTATCCTTGACTTGATTTGTAGACCAGGCTGGCCTTGAACTCACAGGGACCTGCATGACTCTGCCTCTCTGAGTGCTGGGATTCAAGGCATGTGATGCCCAGATCCAAAGGTTACATTTTTAAAAGACTGGCATAGAAGGTCATTACAAGAATCAGAATGTCAGTAGTCAAATGACATCAAAATAGTAAGTGACCACTTAAAACTACAATATTGATGTTGAGGGTGTGATTAAATCTTTATTGAAACTGCTACTCTATCTTAAAGACATATGCCTAGCTGAGAAAAGATGGAACTAACTTCCTAGTGGTTTTCAATAAAGGCAGTGAATTTTTTTCACATAAGAATAAATATCAATTTCTAATAAATTAGATGTTACAATAAAAAGTATAAGAATAAAAACAAAAACAAAATTAGCAATGCTTACCAATACTAGCATGATCGATAATAGTGGCAATGTCTTGTAGACCCCATTTCTTATAAGCTAACGGTGGTGGCTGTATATTCTCATTGCCTGATGCTGCAGCTGTCAAAAATAAAAATCAGAGAGTCCAAACAATTGCAATGGATAGAATGACATTTTATCAAAAAGACATTTAGTATATAATTTACTGTTCTAAAATGTCAACTAATAATGAAGCAAAGTAATGAAAATGGCATAAAACAAGATTTATTCATGCCACACCAACACATACAAAAACACAACTGTCAAAAGACCCTGCTGAACCTGGTCCCGAGCAAGCAGCAGTTTTCTCTTGTGGTAGACAAAACAATCAACTTCTCCCAACAGCCAACTTCAACAGTGCCTAAGAGTATACTGGCTTCCAGCTCATCTGGTAAACCTATGTGTTTAAAGAGGTTTGGGGAACCTATTGATGAAGCTGACCTATATGACCTGGCAAATAGGCCAGACTTTGCTATGCTCTTATACACAACACATAAATAGGGATTGTGGTAAAAAAACAAAACAAAACAAACAACAACAACAAAAAAACCCGATAAAACCATTAACACTGTCTCAATTGTCTCTTCTAGTTTTTAATAAAATTACTACCTACAAAAAATGCCCATTCTCTTTTGTTAAATATATTAATGGTGACTTTACTCACTCACTCATCCATTCATTCAACCAACCATCCATCCATCCATCCATCATCCATGAATCTCTCTCTCTCTTTCTCTCTATCTATCTCTCTGTCTCTCTTTATCTATCTATCTAGGAAAGCAGAGGATCACATACCACAGTCTAAACTGAACCTGAGATCCTCTTGTTGGCTGCCAATAATGATGACTATTTCATCAATCTCAAAATAATGAAGTTATAATGGCCAAATTTAAACAATTGAAACGATAATGAAAATAGGTATAAAAATTTCAAGTGTTCTGACATAAGGAAAAAGTATGAACTACTGAAAAGAACCACAAAACTAAGACTTGAGCATTTTTCCAATCATAACCTGCTAAGATACAATCTTTCCACTAAAGGTATATGAAGACTTAGTTTCCCTCTAGAAGAAAGTGCTTGTTTTGTACCTTATATAAATTTAGATCTAGAAATATATATTTATTGTTGTTGCTGTTAAGCAGCAAGCATATCTTAAAGAAGCTGGTCTCAAGGGGCTGGCAAGATGGCTTCCTCAGTATTGCACACAAGCATGAGGACCTGAGTCCAGAACCCAGCAGCCATGTGAAAACAGTGTGGTAGCTGCAATGACACTGCTGGAGGGATGAAGACAGGGAGATCCCTGGGCTCACTAGCCAGCTCATCTTGCTGAACCAGTGAGATCCAGGCTCAGTGATAGAACTTGTCTTGAGTGAGTGAGGCAGCAAGTGAAGAATGTAAGGGAACACCGTTGCTGTTGACCCTAGCTTCCACATGCATGCCACCATCACACAATGAGGTTCTTGATTTCCATGCAGTTTTCACCTCTAATAATGAAGTCCTCATATATGAAGCTTAGACTTCCAGCATCTCTTCATTGACAAGTGTTTCAAATAAAGAGGCCAAGATGACGTTCCTGGCCCTCTCCCCTGTAATGTAATACGCCCGCACACAGTGACACCTCTATTCTCACTGAGGTAGGCAATGGAGTCAGGGGATTTCAGGGCATGGGTCCTACAGCTTCTCATCTAGGAAGAGGTTTGCTGGCTGTACCAACATCCTTACTCAGTGAATGTCACTCTCCCAGCCAAGCTATGTTGCTGAGTTAAGTGAAGAAAGCTTGCTACTCTCAGGCTGCCACAGCCCACTCCCAACATCTGAACAGCACAGAGGCTGCAGCTCTGTTTATGAACAATCTCCTGCAGGAGCAGGAGACAACTCACTTGTGTGAAGAGGAGGCCACACTGAATAAAACTATCATCACCAGAACTTACACACTTCTTGCCAGAAACAATTACCTTTTGCTACCTGGTTTCGACAAGCACGAAGAGACTGAAAAAGACTGAACCCATCAATAGTCACAATGGCAGCTGGATATAGGATGCTCAGTTCTTCATTCTGGGTAGAAATAAAAAAGTAGCCTTTCTTAAATAGACACACAAACATTTTCCTTTTTAAAAACGTCTAAAAATCTCACTTAGTTAAATACTATGACCAAACAGTTAACTACGAAATACAAAACAGGGAGAAAGCAGCAGAAGGAATAGGAACTAATTTCAGATTGACTTCTGGCCAAAGAATTTAACTTCCTCTCAGATATGAGCTTTTCAATGTAGCAGGAAATGGCTTCAGGATAATGATGAAAATAATAAAAATTTTGTTCCAGCTCATGAGAAATAGTCAAGTGTTATGATGTGACTATTACATCTTATGAAGATGTAAGTCAAGTGTTAAAAATAGAAGCTCACTGGGTGTGGTGGCACCTTCGTGCCTTTGGGAGGCAGTGAAGGCAGATCTCTGAGTTCAAGGCCAGCCTCAGTATAGGACAACAGGAACCCAGTTTCAAACAAAACAAAACAAAAACCAACCAAACAATAAACAAAACACCTCAATAACTCACAGGCGCTCACTTGATATCAGAGGCCTATCCCAACACTCATTCTCAAAGTCATCTACATTTGCGTAAGTCTATCATATATGGTACTGTATATGAAGCCTCTAGTAACCAGCGCCACATTTCATTTATTTATAAATGTACACACACTTAACCTATACCACAACACTGACTGTGATGCCTCTAATCAGTGCTACATTCATTCATTCATTCGTTCATTCGTTCATTTATTTATTCGTTCATATTGTTAAAGTGCTGAGCATTTAACTCAAGCAGGCATTTTGTCAACTGAGCTTCACCTCAATCCTATTTTTTGCATTTTAGTAAGCACACAGATGATTTAATTTTGCTTTTTGTCACAATCTCATGCCTCAGTAATTTTAAAAAAATCCAATTTCAAGCAGGACATGATGAGATTCACCTATAATCACAGCACTAGGGAGGCATGGTTAGAAGATTATGGATTCCAGACAACATGAGCTACACAAAGAAATATCAAACCCCAAAACAACAAGCATACCCCCAAAGCTACCCTCTCTGATTCCATTCTCTCCAGCTCTGGTCTCAGAAAAAATGTTTCAGTGGCTGTGGCTGCATTCCTTCCTCTCTAATCCTCTGTATCAATTCTGATGTTTACATCATTTTTAGCTCACTTTGCTCGCTCTATCACCAGCTTCCTGCTGTTTTCTAATGGGTTTCTTTGTTACCATGCACAAAATCCTACATTTACATCTTCCCTCACTTTTCTCCTAACTGCTGAAAGTATAACCCCCTCTTCTCCCACTGACTGATTATATTGCACACCCATTATCCAAAGCTCACAGCAAATCTAACCCCATGAAATTTCTTCCTCTTCAGTGCAGTCATAGCTCACCTTTCTCTAAACCTGTAGTTTATTTTGATTGCATGATTGGTTGTTTATGTTATTAATTCATTCTTAGATGCTGGCAGACAAAATCTAGTTGTTTGCAATAGATTGCTTTTTCAATAATTTCTATTATGTAGATATACAGTACATATCTGTTTAACAAGGAACATTCTGGAACTAAATCATGCAAAAAGACAATGCACCATCCAGCTTTATTTATTATACGGCTTTAATCCTGTACACTACGGACCAAACAGAAGCATACTGGTTCAGTACTGCTACAGTTACTGTTTTATTGTAGACAGGAAGTTTTCTTTTTTATATAGGTAATTTTGACACTTGAATTAAAATTTAAAAGATTAAAAAGTTTTATTAATGTATTTTCACCAGGGGCTGGAGAGATGGCTCAGTAGTTAAGAGCACTGGCTGGTCTTCGAAAGGACCTGGGTCCAAATCCCAGCACCCACATGGCAGTTCACAACTATCTGTAATTCCAGTTCCAGGGGATCTGAGGCCCTCACACAGACATACATGAATGCAGATCAGCAATGTAATAAAATAAGATTATTCACTCTTAAGTCATTGTGTGGTCTAAACAGGAATAGCCCCCACAGGCTCATAAATTTGAATGCCTGGTCACCAGGGAGTGGCACCATCAGGAGGTGTGGCTTTGTGGGAGGAAGTGTTGGAGGGGGGTGGGTGTTGAGGTTTCAAATGCTCAAACCAGGCACAGTGTCTCTTGTTCTTCTTGTTGATCCAGAGGTAGAACTCTCAGGTCCTTCTCCAGCACCATGTTTGCCTGCATACCGCCATGTTTCCATCCTAATAGACTATAAACCTCTGAAACTGTAAGCCAGCCCCAATTATATGTTTCCCTTTATAAGAGTTGCCATGGTCATAGTGTCTCTTTACAGCCTAAGATAGTCATAGAACACTGCCTAAGACGGTCATCTTAATACAATATTTCATTTATAAAATAGGAACACTGGTATTCGATTAAGCTACAAATTACCTTTCTAGAATATGCCAGCTCAGCTAACTGTGCCACAAGACAAATCTCTTAATTTCTAGGTAAAAAAGCAAATGAAATTGCTTGAAAACAATGCCACTGTAACTTTTTTTCCTAATTCATATTATATGTATGAATGTTTTCTCTACATGTATATCTGTGTATCACATGTGTCCAGTGCCCATGGAGGATGGAAGACAGTGTTTTGGGAATGAGTTCTGGTCCTCTGCAGGAGCATCCAGTGCTCCTAACTGCTGAGCCCTTTCCCTAGCCCTGCCACTGTTATTCTGAACATAATCTTTATGTTACCTGCTCAGTCACTCCAGGGTGCCGAGGGATTTCATAGGTCCTGCATTTAAGCTGAAGCACTTTGTCTTCATTCAAAAGTTGTGCAAGCAAAAGCACACCACTCTGGAAGCAAGCACAGAAAAGGGCCTTGCTGGTTTTCTCCACAGTGTAACTGAACAGGGATATCAAGGCAAACAGCACCATTTCCCAATAGTCTCCCAAGGACACTGGGTCCTCTCTTTTCAAAACTGTACAGCTTGTCTTTGCTTCCTGTACAGACAATTCCTCACTTGTCCTGCTTCCACCCCACAAAGCAGTGGTTCTCAACCTGTGGTTTGTGACCCCTTTGGGGGTTGAATGACTCTTTCACAGGGGTTACCTAAGACCATTGAAAAACACAGATATTTACATTATGATTTGTAACAGTAGAAAAATTACAGTTATGAAGTAGCGACTGCATTAGGCAGGCTGAGAAGCACTGCTAAAGCATCAGCTCATACTTCCAAGCATTCATAGTGAGAACTACCTTTTTAGATTCCCACCCATATCCTTGGAAATGACACCACAAGGTGGTGTAATAGGATGCACAGCACTGAGTCAGCTAGCTGTCTCCTGCTGGAAACCCAACTCACCTCAGTGTAGAAGCGCACATAACCAGACGTAAAGCCCACCACAATGCAGGTCCAGTCAGGGCGCCCAGTGGAACTCCTGTCACAAATAAAATTGATGCTTGTACTGGCTCAGCCATCAAAGCAGAAGAGACAGAGACCCTATACTGATGCTTACCTCTTTTGGCTTGCCAGTGGGATGCACAGAGCACTGGTCACATACTCCCTATAGGCAGAAACAAAAGCAAAATCATGAACTCAGTCACTGTGCTTAGGAGTAAAGTATGTGTATATGAGAGCAAGAGAGAAATAGAGATATAAATAGGTAGGAAGAGAGAGCGAGAGTCTTACCATGCAGCACTGGCTAGACTGCATTCACGATATAGAACGGGCTGTCCTGGAACTCAGAGAAATTCACCTACCTGAGTGATGGGGATTAAAGATGTGTACCGCCATGTCTGAATTAATTCTCTATAATTTAATGTTGAAAGACAGTAGGTGGAAAACGATATCCTGTGAACCATTTTTATTTGACACATAACTAAAACAGTAAAATTCTTACATATAACACGTAACATAGCAAAAAGTAGTGTTTTTTTTCACTTGGTATTAACATGAAACAAAACAAAAAATTCATACAATTTACTGTACAGAAAACATGGAAAATCTCAAATGGTTGCCAGGCAGCTATTTCCCAGCATCACTGTCTCCTGCAGTTAAGAGCAACCCTGCCTCCTTGTTTGTGGCTGGTTCAAGGCAAAACTGGCATACTGGATTTCTGTGGGAACTTTTGTTTGTTTGTTTGTTTTGGTTGGTTGGGTTGGTTCTATTTATTTATTTATTTATTTTTCAAAACAGGATTTCTCTGTGTAGCCTTGGCTGTCCTAGACTCAAATTGTAAGTCAGGCTAGCCTAGAACTCACAGTGATGCACCTAACTCTGTCTCCCTGAGTACTAGGCTTAAAGGCATGTGCCACCATACCCAGCTTCTGTGGGTACTTTCTTTTAGGAACTTGCGCTACATTTCAAGAAGGTATTAGATCTCTGGACTGGAACTGGAATAACCAAACCTGGATCCTTTACAGAAGCAACAAGTGGTCTTACTAAACCACCTCTCCATCCCCTAATAACCTATTTCTAAGGACATATGAGGTTGTTTCCAAAAAATGATTCTTTCCCCTGACATGCAAATTTGAAATAGTGTTAGGGACTCAGAGAAAAACCTTGAAATCTCAACATCCCTTGCTGACTGACTTTGTTTAGACCAAAACAACATAAACCATTCAAGCCAACATACATGCAGCCCCATAGACTATGCTAGGTAAACAGGATATAAAATTAGTCTTTTCCCTATTGTTTCACAGGTGATCTGACCCCCTCCCTTCGACATCTGAGAGTGCTAGACACATGCTGGTGTACAAACACAACTTCACGCAATACATTCTGTTGGAGGTTGGAGGTTGGTCTGATGCTGGCCCTCAAGATCTGGTTACACCTATCCTTGTTTTTAATCTAAGACATACATGATTGGTTGATTAAATGGCCTATACCTGGGCAGGGAAGAATGGAGTAGTCGTGGCTAAGGCTTCCCAGGCTTTTAGGTTCAAGAGAGAATCACAGGAATCAGAGAGGAAGGACGAGAAGAGGAAGGAGGACGCCATGTGGACAAGAAAACACATGGGCTGGGAGGAAGGACTCCAATAATGGCATTAAAAAACCTAGATGAAGAATACAAGCAAGTACCATGGGAATATGGATGGAAGATAGTTTAGAAAAGGATGGTTAAGGAGAACGGTACCATGGGAATATGGATGGAAGATAGTTTAGAAAAGGATGGTTAAGGAGGATGGCATTGGATGGGGCTGAGAGGTAAATGGTGAGGTTACTGAGACAGCCAAAGGAGGTAAAAATATCTGCCTGGCCCAAGGTAAATAAGGCAATTATAAAATCTAACAGGTGTCTGTGTCTTATTATTTGTGGTAGCGGGTTAGATCCGTGATAAACTTAGGGCTTATAATAAACATTATATAATCCAACACTAATTTTAAAATTTAAAACATTAATACACATAACATTAAATAAATAAATCTTCTAAAATATTTTTCTTATTAGAGTTTATAAAAAAAAATCATAAAGGTAATAAAACAGAATCTGAATGAAATAGTTCTCTACAGCCAGTAAAGTTGGGCTGGATACACACACACACACACACACACACAATTTATAAGCAATGAAAGAGATGCATTTAGAAACAAATCCACTTCATACCTATAACAAACAAAGAAACAAGTGAACTAGCACCTACCCTTCTTCCACACTTAAGGAGCCACTCCAACCAACAGCAAACTGCATTTCTTCCTTCCCTTTCTCACTGTGCTTCCATTTTGCTATGAAAAAAAAAAAGAGATAAAATAAAACCAGTAACTTACTTATAAATTCTTATCTTTCCCCTTTAAAAATCTGAGGATAAAAATGTTAAGAACTGATGTGGATATTTATTATAGGTAAGTACATAAATGCTTTTAATTTGTAAAAGCATTCTTGTAAGACTATCTGGTCTTTTAGCCTTTAGTCTCTCCTTCCTCCAGTATAAACCACAATTTACTACTCTACTTAGAGTAAAGTTATAAATTCTCATGTATCACTTTATTGACTTTATTTATAAGACTACTTTATTTTCAAATGGCAGGAGAAGGTTTTATATTAGATTTATGCCATGGGAATGAATTTCCTCTATAAAACTACCCACAGATATTTTATATATAATCTTATTTTATTCTATGAGGTTTTTCATAATCTATGTATCTCCAAATGTTAATATTTAATCTTCAACAAAAAATGTGAGCTGAAAACTTAAGAACCCAGTGAAAATTTACTGTGAGCGCTGTGAGTTTTCAAGCTGCAGCCAAGTCCCTTTCACACTGTTGTAAGGGGCCAGTTATAGCCTGTTCAGCACTGAGCATCCCTGGTAAGAATTAGGTGATGGTCAGTGCTGCCTCACAAGTGTCACAGAATGATAGCTTAAAAGAGCAGAGGTAACACAGAATAAGTACTAAGTGTTCTGGGTTTAAGGAGTTGATGCTCAGACTGCAAAGTACTTGCCTTGTGAGTGCCATCCCTGGCATTCACATAAACAAACAAACAAACAAAAAAACAAAAACAAAAACAAACAAACAATCAAAAAAAAAAACAAAAAACAAAAACAAAAAAAAAAACAGGACAGGCCTGTAATCTCATTGCCAGGGAGGCAGAGACAGGAAAATGCCAGGGTTCACTGGCCAGCCAGTTTCAGCTCCAGGTTCAGCAGGAGATCCTGTCTCAAAACCTAGAGTAAAGAGTAATAGAGGAAGACACCTAATGTCAACCTTTGGCCTCCACACATGCATAGACAACTGCACATACAAGTGCTCACACAAACTTACACATACCAAAAAGGGAAATATCCTATTTATATATTAAATGTAGTACATAAATTATAGAACTACTATGTACTACAGAACACAAATAACACTGTTTCCAAGTCCACTTCTGTTCTAATCACTTCATTAAAATGGAGGCAGCAGAGAATAAACGGTACTTACGCACTAGAAATGCGGCCTTTTGTTCCCGAGCTATAACCATAAGATCACTGGTTGGAGATAATGATAAAACACACTCTTGAAGCCAGGAATTTTTTTGTGTTTTAGAAGTATTTCCTTCTTCTTCCTATGCATAAAAGTGCAATTACTATAAATACGAAGGCTTTTAAGGAACACTACAATTGTGCCTGCCTGTCTTGAGTAAAAAGGAGAGAAAAAAATACTCCCAATTCTTCCATACCAAGATATGTCAATGACAAACACCAAATAAAATACTATTATAAAAAAAACACATTTGTTGTGAAAACCAACACAAAACCTTTATATGCAAATAAATGGCATTAGAGGAATGCAAAACAAAAATCACTCTCCAGTTGTAACTCAGTATTAAGAATTTCAACAGGTATTAAAAAGATCATTAGACTATGTCTGAGCAGGGGTTCTAGGTTATATCCATGCAACTTTGGTTGGAGAATCAGTCTCTGAAAAGACCTCTGTGCCCAGATATATTTGGTCCTTGTGGTGCTCCCAGACTCTCCAGGTCTTACTAACTCCCCCTTCTTTCATATGATTTCCTGCACTCTGCTCAAGGTTTGGTTATGAGTCTTAGCATCTGCTTTGATACACTGCTAGCTCAGCATCCAAGTGGGTTTCCCTAGGAAGGGGAACAGGGACTATCTCAAACATGAACTCAGTGGCTAGCTCTTTGACCTCCTCCCCGCCACCCCCTCAAGGGAGGAGCAGCCTTGCTAGGCCATAGAAGAGGACACTGCAGTCAATCCTGATGAGACCTGATAAACTAGGGTCAGATGGAAGGGGAGGAGGACCTCCCCTATCAGTGGACTTAGAGAGGGGCAGGGAAGAGATGAGGGAGAGTGGGTTTGGGAGGGAATGAGAGAGGGGGCTACAGTTGGGATACAAAATAAATAACCTGTAATTAATATAAAAAATAAAAATTATGAAAAAAGCAAACTTTAAAATAAAAAAAGTTGTTTTGTTTTGTTTTTTTAAAAAAAAAAAATCATTAGAAAAATCTTTCTTGGGCCAGCAAGATAAGCTGGGCAAGGAAAGACGCCTGCCACCAAGCCTTAAGACATGAGCTCAATCTCCAAACCCTGGATATTGAAAGGAGAAAAGACTCCTCCTAGGTGTCCTCTGACCTCCACACATGCTGTGCATGCACAAGACCACACACACACACACCACACATAAAATAAATAAATAAACACATTTCACCTATGACTCTAAGCACCCAGAGGTCTACTCAGAAGACAACCAGTGAAATATATAAACGTATGTTACTTCCTGGGATACTCTGCACATATGAGCAAATATATTCACTGTCCTTCCCTCCTTTTATCCTTGTGAGAATTCATATATAATATATGCATTCTTTAACATGCTGCTTTCTTCATTTCACAAGAAGTTTCTTTATTCTTTTTGATAGTTTCATATTAGTCTGACAAAAGAACACTTAAAATATGGGATACAGAAACATTATTACTGGCAAAATTTGTATTTTAGTCAAGTTCTTTTTAAAGGGAATTCTGTATTACCTTACTATTTTATACAGAAAAACTAGAAAGTTATCCCCACAGATAAAGGTCAGCTGTGATCACATTTTTCCCTGGATCTATGGTTTCTGTGAGAACATGGTCTGTTTACTCAATGCAGTATCTGAGGCTCCTCCAAGTGGCCTCATGAGCTGAAGCTATCAGACCCTATGTTCTCCCCACTAGTGACTGAGACCCAAGATATTAAGTCTGAGTCTTGAAAGCTTTCATATAAGTGAAATCCCACTTTCATGCAACAGCCTGGAAAGACAGCAAGCCAGAGAAGAATAGAAAATATTTGATTAAAAAATAGTGATAGTTCAAGGTTTATAGGCACACACCACCATACCCAGCAAAGTCAGTGTATTCTTAAGGAATTTCTTAACCACAGCTTTAAAATATCTTTCCTTTTACCCTCTCTGTGGTGATTTGAATGAAAATGCCCCCCATAGACGCATTATTGAAGATGTGACCTTGTTGGAGGAAGTGTGTCACAGGGGATGTTATGAGGTTTAAGAAGTTCAAGCCAGGCTCCTTGTCCTGCTCTTGTCCTGCTGCCTGTGGATCTAAATGTATAACTCTCCAGCACCACGTCTGCCTGCCTGTCACCATGCTTACCACCATGACGATATTGGACTAAACCTCTGAGCTGTATGCCAGCTCCAGCTAAATGTTTTCCTTTATAAGAGCTGCCATGGCCACGGTGTTTCTTCATAGCAATAGACACCCTCTACACCCTCTACACGGAATTCCAGTTCCTTTGGTAATTGCACATGGCTCTGAATTTTCTCTTCTTGGAAACGTGACTGGTTGACAGAAAGGAACAAACATTCTTAAGAATCCAGCTCAAGGCACAGGGCAGCAGCAGTAGAAACAGAAGCCACGCATGAAGGATCGAGCTGTGCCTGAAGGAGTTCCTATGTCAGAACTTTCAAAGACACTTCAAGTCAAAGCAGAAATAATTTGACAAAAATGCCAGGACAGGGGTAATAAGGAAGCCCCCAACCAAGGCTGGATCACAATGAACTAGTACTAGCTTCATCACACTTCTAGTTTATCAACAGGCAACAAATGGTACAGAACAAGCCATGAACCCAAGGTATCAGTGCACCTTTGGTAGCTGGCAAGATGCAGGATCACTGTTTGTTTGTTAGGTCCTCTGCCTACTAATTAGGTTTCTGAAAAGCTATTCACAATAATGGACCACAGTCACTAATATTGCTCTCTTTATGCCAGTGATCCTAAAATAACACCACCAACTGAAAAGGTGGTTAATTTCCCAAGTGAGGTGAGAAATTAAGAAGAAAGAAAACAAATTACCCCCCTCCCCAGTTAACCAGGAAGTTTCCCATAAAACCAGACCCTTGATTAACACTACATCCATCACTGTAAATGCGAACCTCTGGAGATAGAGTGGGTGAAGAAACCTGGTTCAGTGTGGCCTGTTTGCTGAGGCTTTTTCTTTGAGAGCAGGGAAAATGTCCTGAACAGAGCAGGAAGGTATCAGAGCCTCTGGAGCAGGCACTGGCTCTAACCCAGGGCTGCATCATAGACTTAACTTTTTTTTTTTTTTTTTTTTTTTTTGGTTTCAGCCTGCAAACTTGTCACATGAATTGTTCTTTCAAGATGTGTCAGATGCTAATCCTACAGCACTGTAACCAGCTTCTGACTGCTGCGCCATGCAGATGACTCATCACAGGCCTGATGTCTGCTGTGTCTTCACTGCTGTATGAAACAGCCACCAAAGCACCAGGAGCAATTTCTCAGTGTGCACTTTTAACCTTGGATGTTCTTTTCACTGTGCTAACTTTTAGAGCTGTTTATATATTATAGAAGTCACTGTGACCAGAGGCTCCTGGGCTATAGCAGTCTTCAGAGTTACTCTACAGAGGTCACAGTACCAACCTCTTTGATCTTCTACTCACAGCTTTATGAGCTGGTGGGATAGCTGGGTCCTCGTGGAGTACCAGAAAGTATAGGGTATCTTCTACCAGACTGTGGGTATACTTTTTGGGCTACTTTACTGGGCTCTTATATCTACCACCCTTCTCAATCCCAATTCCTTCCAACCCCTCCAACACTAGGTAGGCAAGAAAGAAGGTCAGAGGGGAAAGGGGGCATAGAACTCTTTAGACTACTTCCTGCTGATTAGGGATGTTAAGTTCCTTGGGGCAAGCCCAATCTTTGTTAGGATATCTCCAACCAGCAACAGCAAGAGCAGCAGCCGGGACTCATTTATACCCCCTCCAGAGTCCCCAGAATTCCAAGGTAAACTATCTGCAGTTGGCAAAACTCACACCCCTCCTAGAGCATGAAACAATCTTAGTGGCTGTGGGTAGTCTGAAGCATATCCCACACCTGGGATTAAAACAAAAACATATTCACATAACATAACTGGGTTGTTAAAGAAACCAAAATTCTCACTACACCAGCCCACGGACACAAGCACCTTCCGGGTGATAGGTCCACTTTCTCTCCTTGTAGTTTTTCCTTATCACCATCCCTCCCATATGCTGTATTCTTCATTTTGATCATGCTCCTACTGTCAATATCTTCCAAGGCATGTAACTTGTTTGTTTGGTTTTCTTGCTGCTGTCACTTCCTCAGGGGGAGATGTGCACTCTGCTTGGACCCAAGTATGCTTTATTCACTGAGCCCTTGTTATAGCTGACAGCTTAGAACCTCAAGAGCAAACAGGCTTCTCCTTCCTTAAAAAGGCTTTTCCAGACTCCTGGTAGTAAGTATCTCAAACACACAGCCATTTACTCTCTCAAGTCATCAAAATGACAAACAACTTTCAAATCATTGAGAGACATGTAGGAATAAAGAGCATCCTGGAGTTCATATTGTTTCCTGCCGAGCTCAGGAGACCCGGGCTGGCCCCTGGGTGAGCAGCACTCAGTTATGGTGGCTGGTGCATCACTCACTCTTTGAAACCTGTCAGTTCTCTTCATGCCTCTGTCTCACCAGGGACTAGCTCTGCAATGACTGACCAATAAAAACAAAAGTTCACTTTCCTCCACTCATCAGCCTCTAACCAAAGGCAACCGACTAAGAACATCCTCAGTGCTTACAGTGGCAGGGCCTTGACACAACCTAACAGTAAGCAAACAGCAAGACATTCAACTCCCACTGTTGGCATCATCTTTAATGTGGACAAAACCCAGTTATGTTCTGGGAGGCGTCTCAGGACTGTTCTTAGCAAGAGCACCAGCTTTCCACTCCAGCTTCCTATGGTGACTGATCCGTTACCTGGCTTGGACTTCTGCATGTCACATGCCTCCAAGCCTCTTATGCTGCTATTTGCTATACATCTGGATACAAACCACTAGTGTTGTTCACAGTCACTGAAAGCAGCAGGAACAGTCTCACCTCTGCTGAGTGACATTTCTGGCAGTCCTGGCACAGCTGTGAGTATGAAACAATGGAAAAGAGAAAGAACCCCAGACCACAAACAAAATGCAGGTAAAAACCATGAAGAGGTCTGAATTATGAGTAAGTAGAAGCCAGTGAATCCTGTCTAACTGCACATAAAATTTTCAGAACAGATAAATCTATACACAGAAAGTAAGACATTTGTTAGTGGAGGACAGGAAAAAGGAATAATTGGAAGTGACTAGTAATGGATTATGAGGATTCTTTTAGGGTAATTAAAATATTATAGAGGGCTTCGAAAGATGGCTCAGTGTTTAAAAGCACTGTATGCTCTTCCAAAGGTCCTGAGTTTGATTCCTAGCAACCACATGGTAGCTCACAACCATCTATACACTGGAATCTGATGCCCTTTTCTGGCATACCAGTGCATGTGCAAATAGAACACTCATATATGTAAAGTAAATAAATAAATATTTAAAAAATATTTATTTTTAAAATAAAATATTATAGACTTAGATCATAATGATAGTTATAGAACTTTGAGAATACTAAGAAAACTGTGTTATATACTATAAGAGAATTACATGGCATATGAGTCATATTGATAAAATATACATTTAACATAACAATACTGATACAAATCTGTGTGGTTAAAATGGTACAGTAAACATTTGTTTAACACAAAAGAGTGGAGTACAGAGTTAGAGGACACTGTGATGGTCAATCCTGGTTATCACTGACCAGAACTGGGAAGAACCTCATGGCTGGCCACTGAGTGCCGAGTGAGAGATTTGTTTCTATTTTGTTATCTGAAGTGGAAAGGCCCATCTTAAAATGTGAGCAGCACTTTCCAATGGCAGCCCACACACAGAGGTCCTAGAAAAGAGTGTTTTTATTGCTTGCCTCTGCTCCTGCTGGCAAGTTCATCTACCCCGCTGCTGAAAGCCCTCATTGATGCCTGCTTCTTCAGGCTTCCAAGACAGACTGGAGACAGTCTGCAGGAACCCTCCAGGCCTTCAGCACCACACTAGGACTGCTGAGGCAGCCAGCACCATGGATTAAGCAGCTACAGTCTCTTAGCCTCCAGGATAAAGCAGTGACCGTTACACACTCAGGTCACATCATGCAGCAGCCTAAGACAGTGACTGTCACACACTCAGGCCACGGCATGTACCAGCCTAATAGGTCCCCTTCTAATAACAGTCATTCTTTTGATTCTGTCCTAGGTACCCTGACTAATACAGGAACTAAAAAGTAATGAGATATATATACAACAAATGCTCAAATGGCAGGTGAGAATTTAAGCATTTCAATAATCACATAAAATGTAAAAAAAAAATTATTTAATGAAAGCCCCAAGTATCAGGCTTATTAAAAGTGTAAGATCCCCCTCATCTGTAAGGGGTGTCCCCTTCATCCTGAAGGGAGACTACTGCAAATTAAAGAACATACTTCTAGCTAACAGATCAAAAAGGAAGCCAAACCTGTGTGTGCACAGGAAAATATGTAGACTTATATTACAAAAGAAAATAGATGTAAAATAAGTAATCTAAAATGTCTTTTTTTCCCCAGACTCTTGAAACAGGATTATCTTTAATGACCATAAACAAACTCAAAGGAAAGAGAATTAAAGATATAACTAAAGACACTACAAGAGAAAAAAAAAATAATGAAGTCTTGAAACTCAAGTTTTGAAACTACTAGAAAAGCTAAAAAAAAATTTTTTTTTAGGTAGAATAATCAAGGGAAAGGGGGAGAAAAATAAAATTACCGTAATCTTGGTATGAAATGAGAAATTACCCAAATCATAGAATGGAAGAGAAGGCCTCTCTATACACATAAAAGTCAATGATTACAGAAACAAGGTATTTCTGGATGTCACACAGCACAACATGGCCAAGAAAGGATGTGGCAGAATTGTAAGTGGCTTTTAAGTAAAGCTATTTCCCAGAACAGCAAGTGAAGGTCCAAGTATTTTCCTCCCTCTAGTCACAAACAATGCTGCCACACTGGCCATGAAAGAAACAAGCCAAACAGACAGAGTCTGATGACATACAGAGCTCAATCATTTGACCCAATAACCTAGAAGCTATCCTAGCCCTGGAGTTCCTTCTCTGTGAAGTAATGAAGTTTCCTGTTGCTTAAATCAGCTTCAGTTAGATCTTCCATGACTCAGAGGAAACATATTAAGATGCCAGAGTCAGGGACTCTGGTTACTGCTATATTCTCAGCACCTAGGAAAAGGCCTCAACTATGACAGGCACAACAACTGTTCCTTGAGTGAACAGGAGAAAGCATCTAGCGTAACTTATGAGGAATCAAGAATCCTACAGCAATAAACATTCTCCACGTAGCCCAGTGCTGTGGTTCTACTGAGTCCCCAGCGCATGTTAGAAACCTAATCCCAAAAAGAAGTGTGAGGAACTGAGAACCAATGAGAAGTGAAATCATAAAGTCAAAGTGAGCAAATTAATGCTGCTATCAGGAATGAGTTTGTTGTAACAGAAATGGGTCTGTTATGAGGGAGAGGGCAGTCTGGATGTCTTACACACACACACACACACACACACAATTTTCCTTTGCCTCTCATCAATTTTCTGCCATGTTATGATGTAGCAAGAAGGGCACTGTCACATGCTAAGCCCTTGGAATTGATATGGCCCTCCAGGACCACAGCCAATGACACTTTCATCATGAATTACAAGGTCTCAAGTCCTTTGTTGTAGTATAGACAACAGTGCCCAATTATCTGTCAAGTCATTAAGATCCTTAAAAGCAGGTATCTAGTTAGTTACTGCTAAGTAAATATAAAAATATTTGTGACAATGATTTTTTTTAATGTCAACCTAATATGGAAATATGCCACTGTCACTATCAAATGTCACTATCAAAACCCATGCAAGGCACTGGCAAGATGGCTCCGTGGGTAAAGGCACTTATTATGTAAGCCTGGCAACCAAGCTCAACTTCTGGAGTCCATTAAAGGTGAAATGAGAAAACAGTGACTCCACAGAGTTGTCCACTGACTCCCACACATACCATCCACACTCAAAAATAAAAACAGAGGCAGGCATTTATAAAGACTTACAGGTTCTTGGGATTCTGTTTCATCCCATGCTCCCCAATTATCATCTTCCCAGTTCAGTGATTTACCTAGAGAGAGAGAGAAAGAGAGAATACATGAAATTAAAAGGATTAACATATTTTAAACACTTTTCTCTAAATATAATAGCAATAAACTTTTCGTTGTTTTTGAGACAGGGTCTCACTGTGTAACTCTGGCTGTCCTGGAGCCTGTTATATAGAACAGGCTGGCTTTGAACTCATAGAGATCCCCCTGCCTCTGCCCCCTGGGCACTGAAATCACAGATGTGTGCCACTACATCCAGCAGAAGCCATCTCTGCATAATGTCAACGTTAAGGAAGAACATGAATGTGTAAGCTGTGTTACCGCAGGATTTGATCAAACATAGTAAGAACTAGGAAACATATGACCTACTTGACTTCCAATTTATGTCTAGCAAAACTGTGTACAAGTTATTTAAATCTTAAAATATTAGAGTAGATCCACATTTGAATCAAATGTAAAGGTGAGTTTAAAAATTAATCTGGGCATGGTGACATATGCCTATAATTACAGTTCTTGGGCACAAAGCAGAAGGATCAGAAGTTCAGAAATTCAAGGCCAGCCTTGACTACACAGGCAATTTTGAGGGCATCCTAATCTACCCTAGACCCTGTCTCAAAAAAACTACATACACACAAATTTTAACAAATATTTGTTACTTAAAAAAGATAAATATATAACAACAAACACAGATATTTCAAAGTGAATTGTTCTTTGTTTGATTTTCAAGACAGGGTTTCCCTGTGTAGCCCTGGCTGGCCTCAAACTGAGAGATCTGCCTGCCTCTGCCTCCCGAGTGCTGGGAATAACAGCACATAACACCACCACCTGGCTGAATTGTTGTATCATGATAGGACAAAGTATCCATGGAAACAGCCTGAATTCTGAAATAAGACAAGCCCCTTCCTCCAAGTTTTTTTTTTTTTTTGATACTCTTATTTCTTACACCTGAGATAATCTCCTTAGATTAAAACATATTCACTAAAATATGCAACAAGAAATTAAAAACTTCAGATTAGTTTGGAAAGCACCATCCCTTGCATCGCTCATGTTGACTTTACATAATTTGCTTAGAATTTACTCAAAGCAATAAAATTATCATTCTTAGGCAACCAGAGGCAAGAATGAGATACTCTACCATCCCAAATTAAGTTAGAAACCAATGAAATTCCAATAAGACTCAGATGTTTCATTTGAATTTTATCAATTTTTATTTATGAACTGCATTATGAAGTACCTAATGCTTGTTCAAATCCCGGATGCAGCACTTCCTACCTCTGAAGAAGCAAATTACCTCATCTGTAAGCTTTAGTTTCCACAAATAGTACCTCTGAGACTGTGGGGCTTTATAAGAACTTAACATCATCCTAAGGGGTTCTGTATCTGATGCAAAAGTTCTCACTGCTAGCTGTCATCATTTAGCCATCAGATATAACAGCCATGAAGTAGAAATAAAATATAGTTAAGTAATCAGCTTTCAATCCAACATGAAAGATAAGCAGATCTTGTGATTTACAGAAAGTAGCAATGAGAACATTCACTTATACACTCACTCTAAAAATTGCTGAAACAAAGGACACAGATGATTTACAAGTGTTATAGTCTGGTACTTGGAATCACTGCTCAATTAGCTTGTAGTAACAACAGTCTAATCTTCAGCACTTAAATGCCAAGTAATTACTTCCTAAAATCCCAAATACACTGCTAAGCACATATTAAGTCCTAAAATAGCACCACCCTTTGATTAAAATCACATGACCTACAGATTTCCAGATACAAGTCAATTAAGTCAATTAACAATTGCTCTGTTAAATACCCAACCTTGTAGTAAGAGCTAAGAAAAGTATAAGCACATTCCTTGCTCTTACAGAATCTGTCTTAAGAAGGAGGTAGATGAACACTTAACTATAGTGCACATGCTATGACTGCTACAGTAACTTGGACAAGAAAGTGAAATATTTCAGAGGTACAGAAATGCATATACACTTACACTCTATGAAAGATTTTGTTTTTCATTTTTATTTATTTTTCTGAGTATGAGTACATGTGCACATGTGTGTGAGTGGCCACGGAAACCAGAAGGCGGCATCAGATCCTTCGCATGGATAAAAACAAGAGAAACATTGGGGCCTACAGACAAGGCCCATTGATAACAGTCTTTCTGTCTCTGAGACAGGGTCTCATGTATCCCAGGCTAGCCTAAATTTGCCACAGAGCCAAGGATGACCCTTAAACTTCTGACCCTTCACCCCCTGCACATTAGGATTACAGGTACACATCATCACACCAGGGTTATGCAGTTGTAGGAATCCAACCCAGAGCTTCATGCATGCTAAGGAAGCATGCCCACCAACCGAGCTAGAGCCCTGCCCTTACTCACTTGTTTTTCTTTCCTGGTTCTTTTAAGTTATTTTTTAAATAGAAATATCCCCTTGACACAAGACTTTAAAGAGAGGTTTTAAAAACTTGAACACTTTGCTTGGAGTGGCAATTCACACCTTTAAATACCAGCACTCTAGAGGCAAGGCAAGCAGATCTCTATGAGTTCCAAGCCAGCCAGAGCCACACAATGAGGCAATGTCTTAAAACTCTTCTGGACAACTAAGTTTTGTTCTTTGGCAACATAATTCATTAAACACTCTGTTCATTCATTTTTACTACATCACCAAAACAAATGATCTCACTGTGAACTGATTTAGACAACAGCCAACCTATTAACCATTGTAGAAGCCAGGCAATGGTGGCACACACATTAAATTCCAGCACTTGAGAGGCAGAGGCAGGCAGATTTCTGTGTTTAAGGCCAGCCTATTCTACAGAGTTCCAGGACAGCCAGGCCTACACAGAGAAATCCTGTCCTGAAAAACCAAAAAATACAGAACAATAACCAAAAATTTTAGAATATGCATTGTCTTTTAAAGGAGAAATTAAAAGTCCATGATTCACATTTAAAATTGCTACAAAGTCCAGAACATCAAAATGACCTTGCAGAATAAAAGCCCTTCAGGAAGTCATTCATTCATTTATTCATTCAAAAAGTAGCATTTTTCATGCTAGATACCAGAGACAAAAGGAAGTTTCCACAGAGTTCAATTAAAGCATATAATCTCTGTTGAATGTGCAACACTATAAAAAAGGATTTAATTTTTCCTTTATATTGGTATAAAAAGCACCTGACTCAATTCACAAGTGACTCATATCATCAAGCGGAAGACAGTAGTTATTTGGATTTCCTGTCCCTACAGAGATCCAATATCTCTTCATGCTACAATTCAAAACATGCCCAAAGAGAAAGGCCCTGAGAAATATATTAAGATATTGTGTCAATGACTGCTTACCCACTTTTGCCTGATTAGAAAGTTGCTTTGAACTGAAGGAAAAGAAAAGTAAATTGGAGAGCTCCTACTATCACAGGAATATTTTCGCAAAGTCATTAGACTATAAATAGCTTGGTCGGTAATATGCTAACTGAGCAAGTATGAGGACCAGAGCAATCCTCAAGACCCAAGTTCTTTAAAAAATGCCATCCATATTATTAGTAGTGCTTCTTTGCTGACTAATCATTGACCAAGGTAATAGGTAAGCAAAGCAATGTGTTTAACATTAAACTATGAACTACTTAATTTTATGTTAATATGGAACATTTTCATAAATATCTAAGGTTTATAAAGTTCACGTAATCATGAAGAAATAAGAGTAATTTATTTAATGTACTATCAATTACCACAAAAATATTCTACTGTGATTGTCTCTTAGGCAAGTAACTAGATCTGTATCTTATATAGCCTAAAATGATTCAAAAGTCCTAAGCCCTGGTGTGACTTAAAATGCAAGTGTGTGGTGGAATCAGGACCCTGGGTGGGCAACTTCTGAGGTGATCGGGATGCAGTGCAATGATCCAAACACCACATCACACAGCCACTAGTAGCTACCCGGTTTACATCATAGTATTCATTTACATCAAAGCCTACAGCACAAGCTATAGAGATTTTAATCGTTTTCTTGCTCATTAAATAAGCAGTTGCCACTCCATATCCAAAAGTGACACTATCACCAATGCATGTGTCTCTCATTTTGTTAAAGCACAACCCAACAAAACTGATCAGAAAAAAAACAAAAACAAAAGAACAGCAACCAACCACATTCATTGCCTTCAAAACCCCAGAATTATATGTCCCGCCAGTTTCCCTGTGGAAGAACAACGAAACAATGAGAAAGAAACTAAAATAAGGAGTCAGGATTACCACTGGCTGAGAAATGGTTCCTTTCTCTAAGACTGTTTAGAGGTCTGCATGGGTCCAGGACTTGAGTCCTCGACTCACCACCTCACCCCCTTCCCCAATTCCACATATCTGAGCCTGATGGCCCAGGAACCAGGGTCTTAGGAACACTAACTTTAACATAAATCAAACGGCCTGAACATCATTTTCACCTCCCTGCCTATTCAGTCCCTGCCTATTCACTGTCAGAAAGTCTTCCATAGCTGCCACATGTGCAATTTTTTAATTTAACTACTAACTGCACTTAAAAGTAAAAATAATCAAATACTATTTTAATACAATATAGCCAGATGTTATCATTCCAATACATAAGTGCAATTACCCATAAGGTCCTTTGTACTCTTTTCTCCCATTAAGCCTTACAGCTCAGTGTATTCTGCACTTTGAGCACGGCTTGTCTGTACTAGCCACATTCCAAATGCTCACCAGCACATGTGGCCTGGGGTGGATTCCAGATTTTACCCTGGAGAGCTGTAGGAGCTTGGGCAATCTAATTAATCCCTTGCTGCCCCTCCTTCCTCTTTAGCAGGATGGAGCTAATGGCTGCATCTACCTCACTGATGCAATCACCAGCCTGCAAACACAACATTTCACCCACACTATCTTAGGCTATCCTATCATGCTAACTACATGCCTTCCTTTATAGTAATCTTTCCAGAGGAGACTTGTTCAGGGTCCAGATTAATCCTACATGGAGTTTGCACGCAGACTTTATATCTAGGATCAAAGCAATCTTTTTCAAATAA